CAAACTGTTTTTTTTATCTCCAACGTCTGAAAATCGATCTCAACGAAGTCTATTAAAGTTTGTAAGTACTATTAATGACGTTACATCTCTTCAAAGTACGAACTTTAATATGATTCTCCGTAATTAACGCAAATCATGAAAACGAATTTACTTTGTGCAAAAAAACGCGTGTATATGAATATGTATGCTATTTGCTATCGTATTTCGATAGCTATTCGTCTTGTTCTTCGTGATTCGCTTATGAGGGCTATAATTTCTAGACCTAATATTTATTAAAATTTATAATATCCTAAAAGATGGCGCTTCTATATTTGTGATACATATTTATTACTAGACTTGTCCTGTTGTTTCACTCGCGTTAAATTTGTTATTCATAAAGATTGAAACACGTTGCATTTGATCGGGATAAATATTTGCTTACGCTACTGTCTGATCCATAAACTACCAGTCGATTTATGGATCAATTGGTGCGTAAAATCAGGAATCAGCTTGCAAGAATCAGGAACATACTGTCGCTTTTATTATAGCAGATTAAGACGACGCTGTCAATGTAGTATGTGTGTGTAGGTTATGAACTGTCTTTATGCGAATATTCATCGAAAGCTTCTCAACGATTTTCGCGTGAAATGAGTAACAAACATCTAAACTTACAAAATTTCACATTTATAATATTATAAAAAAATATTATAGAAGTATAAACGGATAATTGAATTTATAAATATTCGAATATGTGCTTCTAATGTTAAGAATTATTATAATTATATGCTATAATATATATTTATATTTATAATAACAACATTTAAAAACACAATATAAACTATAATAAATAATTATATATGTCAGCTTACAATTAATCTCATGAGATGGCAAAACAATACTTTGATTGATGCCATGTGCTAGCATAAATGGAGGAGTATTTCTTTCCTTTTCTCGCGTGATTGATTGTTTTAATACAACAGAATAATAACCAATACATAAATCATGTAGCACAAAAATACTGACTTCGAAAAAATACTGAATATTCGAATAAAAATATGTATATGTACCAACAATAAATTCGCGCGTCTGATTTAATTCTACATCTTTCTGTGTACAACTTTTTTGTACTTGTTACTTTCTTGTACTGCAATATTTACTTCTTATTTTGCTTGTCTATTGCTTTGCTTATCTTGCTTGGCTTTAAATTGCAAAAAATATATAATTGTTCTATCAAGTGGCTTTTGCTTCATTATTCGATTTCAAATAATTGCGGTTTTTTTTAAATGTAATAAATAAAGTCTAAGATCTACATTTGCTAAAGTCTGGAAATTTCTTAGATCGTTTGGGACTGGAAGACACACAACATGATTCTCGTCTTTCAAATTCGCATATTGATTCATTTAATCAATATTTCTGTGCGTTATCCTATTTCCAAACTATTTACCACCAAACCAAAAACCAAACTATTACATACCTATAGCATATTATCTATAACCTCCAATGCAGTTGGTAATGATTGTATCACCTGTAAGTTCCTATCCTGGACCAAATCCTTCCCATTATTTGTCATATTCTGAATCAATCATTATCTAGCAGTATATTACCCAAAGTTTTGGAAGGAATTACAAATTACACATCTGCCAAAAAAACCGAATTCTTCGAAAAAGCTTCGATAAACTTGAAAATCTGCTCATGTATCAAGCACTGATATAAGTTTTTTTGTTCATACACTATGCAATAATTGTTATTACCTACCTAATTCCCTTAATGCTTTACGCCTGGGTTCTTATCTTCAGAACTGAAACTAGATCATGTTTCAGGATCACATATGTGTGAGTCTGCCAAAATCTTGCCTTTTCTAGCAATACTCAATCAAGCGTTCTGGCAATGCAATTGATATTTTAGTATCGTGTCTCAAGGTGAATGAGGGCATGCACGTTGTTAGAGGTCTATTGATTCCAATAATCGTTCTACATCAGTTGAATTAAAAGAGCGGTCATCTGTCTGCAACATTTACAAGAAAAGGTTTGCTTGTGTTTTCTTTCGAAGGAGCTTGGAAAACGAGAATTTCCAGAATCACTTACTCTGTTCCTCAGAATATTCAGAACACGTACGAAGTTCACTACTGAATACTTTCATGTGTTCATTTAAAAGCAATGCACTTTGTTTTTAATACTGTGAAAGTATTTCTGAACTAAAATCGTGAGGCTATTTCAAAAATCATTTAAAACTTTAAAACGGATTCGTTGTTTTTGTACCTTAACAATCTCCATACAAAACAATGATATAATACGAGAATGAGAAAATTAAGAACAATATTAACTTTTTGATATTAAATTTTACAATGATTTTGTGTATGATTCATTTGGCGGACCAAAATTAAATATCGGTACGATTTTAGGTCGCGATACATATCCACAGCAATCTATCTTGCTTATCAGGTGAAAGACGAGGCTATCGTATGAGAACCACATTTTCAAAGCTTTATAATTAAGTTAATTAAGCGTTTCTGTAGAACATAATATAATTGAGTTTTTTTTTCAGATAATTTTGCGTAAAATATTAAAAAAAGCTGAATCTAAAGTAAAGTAATATAAGGACATGAGTGAATGAAATTTAACTTGTCTCTTAAATTGGAAATCATGCGTGAGATTCTGGTATAGCTAATGCCAGTTATTTGGAAATGATTAGATCAAGTTATATGACGGCCAGTCACAATTATTTAACTTTTTTTTAATTTGTAACTATATTGTTGGCCAAAAAATATAGCGCCACATAAAATAATACGCGTGTTGTATTGTAATCACAGAAAACCCTTTGGACTCGATTCTAACTAAATTCTATTATTTACGAAAATGCACATTTCAAGAATATAATAATATATCGTTATATTTTGGTACAGTCGTATTTTTGTGTTATATTTATTATTTTGTCTCGCAAAAATATGTAAGAGTTCCAGACGTTTCGAACATTTTCATTTTTATAGTTTTGCGAAATATTAAATTTGCCAAAGCTAAAACAGCTTTGAACTGCTATTGACCCGTCCAAATAAAAGAGAATAAAAACATACAAGGTTTCGTTACAGAAACTTCGTTTTTTTTTCTTCATAAAACTTTCTTGAAGCAAACATAAATAAGAAACATCGAAAGGTTTAATAACTACCATCTCACAGTAGATTCGATATTATGCGGTTACCGAATCACATAGGCAATTTAACATAAACGTCGCTTCTCAAAGTTATTCGAGCCTCTGTCGGTCGAAGATTCTGTAACAGTGACATAATGCCCTTCAGATCGGAACTCGCTGTTGCATCAATAATTTTTTTTATTGCTTAAATGGGAGGGCGAGCTCACAGCCCACCTGGTGTTAAGTGGTCACTGGAGCCCATAGATATCTACAGCGTAAATGCGCCACCCACCTTGAAATATAAGTTCTAAGGTCTCAACTATTGTTACAACGGCTACCCCACCCTTCAAACCGAAACGCATTTCTGCTTCACGACAGAAATAAGCAGGGTGGTGGTACCTACCCGCGCCGACTCACAAGAGGTCCTACCACCAGCAATAAGTACCATTTTAATAATAATCATTTCAAGCTCACACTACCACTTATCAACAGTGTTATTATAAATATCACAACGTCGAAATAATGTTAAAGCATAGCCCAAAAAAAATTGTAGATGGGAATATTAAATACGCGTTGATGTTTACAACTGTTTGGCCCGTTTGGACCACACCCGTACGTAATATCTTGTGTCCACGGGGAGTTTCCAGTCCGCGGAGCTTCGGGCAATGCAATTACATGCAAATGTGCTGATGTGACGATAATAAATCCCGCGAGAGTTTCCCCGCCCTTCCTTTGAGAACAATAAACGAAAACATTCTTTTAATTAATGATTGGATGTGAATGTGAAAAAAAATAATTATTTTATATATTAAGTACAATATGGCCTAAAGCAGGGGCGGGCAAATATTATGATAGTCGGGCCACATTGCAAATGAAAATTTGATCTCGGGCCAAACAGTTTTTTTTTAATATTACTTAAAAACTAATATTTGTGTTTTAATAATAATATATACAATGCTTCACGGGCCAGACAAAATTCTACCGTTTGCCATTTGCCATTTGCCCAGACCTGGCCTAAAGGATAAGACGCCCGGTCCATTCGTATCGTTAAACGATGCAACGGTGTTCGAAGCCCGGAAGCAGGTACCAATTTTTCTCGTAAAGTACGTACTTAATAAATGTTCGGCGTTCACTTCCACGGTGAATGGGTAACATCGTGTCATAAAAATTATAATTTGCGTAATTACTGGGGGCACTCTTATAATGCCGCGCGGGTAGCCTGCCTATTTCTGCCGTGAAGATGTAATGCGTTTCGTTTTTTTTTTTTGTCGCTTAGATGAGTTTATATGGTTTCGAAGGGTGGGGCAGCCATTGTATTGTATAAACTGCTTATGTCTCAAGGTGGGTGGAGATATTTACGCTATAGATATCCATGGACTACGGTAACCGCTTAGCGTCAAGTGGGCTGTGACCTCGTCCACTCATCTAAAGCAATAAACAAGGAGTATTTATACCATTATTTATTCCGCAAATGCGGAAGTAATTTTTTCATGACTTCATTATAGTGCAAAAATTCATTTAAACTTTTACCTTATTATTATGTATGTATATTATAAAAAAACAACATTAATGTAACATATTTTGTTCGGGAAAATTTATGGCCAACAGACAGTGAAAAAGTAATATCAGGAAAACGTGCAATGCATAGAAACTAGCTACGAAGTGCTACAGCCGGCTACACCAGGCCTACGCTATCGAAATACATAATAACGTTACGATTTCAAAAAAGTATCGATATACTTGAACCATATCGATATTAAATTGTAAATATCATACATATTCGTCAAATATTTCATAAATGTCTTCTTCATTATTAATATTTTAAATTGACATCACTTTCGATTTATTCCAGATAGTTGGGGGCTCGTACGCAAAGTTGGTCTTAGAGCGTGGTGATGGAGTTGGTAATACTTAAAGCGAGAGCTCAACTAAATCGTCTCGTGTCGTCTGGTGAGAAGCGCAGCGGAAGCAGCGAGCGCTCGCCGCGTGGTGAGGGCGGAGGCGAGAGCGCGCGGGCGGCGGGCCGCGGCCGCAACAACATGGCGCCGCCCGCGCCCTCATCCTGGCTTAACGCCTCCCTTACTTACAACCTCTCGAGGCTCAACACTACCTTCGATACAGACTACGAGCTGCTAAACGCGACTGCCGGTGACGATCAGAACAATCACTGGTTTTGCGCTAAATGGACAAGCGCTCAGCAGGATCTTTTTCAGGTGATAGCATGAGTCTTTAAATAGTCAAAGTGCTTAATTGATTATTATGAAACTTAAAAAAACAATTGCATGTCAAATATATAAACTCAATTGCAACATTCAAATTTCCATTCAACTTTTCAAATTCATTTCAATTGCAACATTCAAATTTCCATTCAACTTTTCAAATTCATAACCATTACAGGAAGACTCATGTAATTTATATATATGTAGGNAGCATGAGTCTTTAAATAGTCAAAGTGCTTAATTGATTATTATGAAACTTAAAAAAACAATTGCATGTCAAATATATAAACTCAATTGCAACATTCAAATTTCCATTCAACTTTTCAAATTCATTTCAATTGCAACATTCAAATTTCCATTCAACTTTTCAAATTCATAACCATTACAGGAAGACTCATGTAATTTATATATATGTAGGGGACGGTCATTAGTTTGGTAGCTAAACGAAACGTAGCACGATTCCCGAGAGACGGTAGCACGTTGAAACTCGGCTAACCTCTTGCTTCTACAGAGCCTAGCCGATGGAGACGCATAGACGCCATTACACACTTACCAACCAGCCTTCTTGAAGAGTGGTGCCTCCGTCCTAAGAAATGTCATTCGTTTTCGTTTGCTAACGTCAAAAGAAGATTTTTAAATTGTTCTAAGACAACACACGTGATTGGTGTACTCAATATTTCTCTTAGCTCGATTACCCTATTCGCCCCTATGATGTCTGACGATGGTGTTAATAATTGTGGCTTCTCCGACATATACATATTATATGAAACTAGCGACCCACCCTCGCTTCGCTTCGGAAACTGTAATTTATTATTGATTTCTCCACTGTTTAATGGATGTTATTATACATATAAACCTTCCTCTTCAATCACTCTATCTATTAAAAAAAAAACGCATCAAAATCCGTTGTGTAGTTTTAAAGATTTAAGCATACATAGGGACAGAGAAAGAGACTTTGTTTTATACTATATAGTGATATACACATATAAATGACAGGCGGCAAATCTGTGCTTCGCGCTGGCGTTTCTCGCGCCGAAGAGCTTCAAACAGAGCATCTTAGTGCTGCGAGCCCTGGCGGCGTCGGGCGCCGTGCTCATGGGCATGTGGGCAGGCGCTGACGTATGCGCACCCGACGTCCTCGCCTGGAGCCTAGCGCTTGTGCTCGTTAATTCTTTACACACAGTCTTCTTAATCATAAGGTAAACAAATTATAAGTAGTACGTATTTTCGTTTAAAATTATTGAACGGAAATACCGAACTTTTATTTTATTTTATGCACATTATGATTTGTGCAGCGTGCTTAGTGCCAGTTTTTTAACGATCTCGATAGCGTAAAAGTTAACTCAAATGAGTAGGCAGTTGGAACAGCGCCCCCCGCGCAAACGTAGGAAAACGTTCCAATTCCGCACAAAAGTTGAATTAACTTTGACGCTATCGAGAACGTTAAAAACGCTGGCACTAAGCACGCTGAATGTAATTCACACTTTAACATTTTGAGGAAGAAAACGAAAATCTCATTATACTTATTGTTTAAGTAGTATTGATTTGAGTTACCTCAAAATTACACCGCGCAAGTATCACGAATTCACAAAATTACATATTTGAACACTAAATACAATATACGTAACCCGTGGTCGTTGGTTTTCGCAACAGATTTCTTCCGCCGGCGCTTTCGCTGGAACTGACTGACCTGTATTTGAAGCTATTCAAGCCGCTGAAAGTGAACAAGAAACACTTCCAGGAACTCACGCGGGAGGCTCGGATAGTCCGCCTCGAGCCGGGTGAAGCATACGCCGTCGAGGATGTAACACCAGCAGATGAACGACTCTCTATTCTGATAAAGGGAAAGTAAGCTGTATTTTCTTATTACGTATTACGTAGATTTAGTTGCAACTTTCGCTCGTACTAGGAACAATGCTGAGAATAGGATGTTAACAATGGCATTAATACATGAATAACTGTAACTAAAAACTGAATTTGCATTCATTTAATAACGTTTTTCGTATATTTAGACACCGAACAACAACATTGAAATTTTTATATAAAAAATTAAGACATGTATTTGAACATAATTCATGTCAGAAACCCATTAAATATTGAACCTTGGTACAGACTGCGAGTTAGCTGCGATGAGACGCATCTTCATTACATACAGCCCTATCAGTTTGTCGACTCACCGGAGTGGGAAGCGAACAGAGAGCAATCTGATGACGTATTCCAGGTATTTACGTCAGCAATCTTATCTTGTAAGGCAGCTCTATTAGATAACGTTATTAAACAATCTTGAATACACTTAAAGCTATTAAGTGTATTGAAAATTATTTTTACGTGAATACAGCATTCTCGTATATGTCTCAAATTACCTCATGAATTATATTATATGGATCCAAATTTTCATCAAATATTCAAATCATAATTTATTTTCGGCTTCAGATGTGTTGATATCAATCTCCAGATTTCAGTAATCGGCAAAAGACAAAAATAACTCGACACGTTATATTAACTCTACTGACTACCAGAGTGAAATTTAAAGCTGAAAATGTTAATAAATTTTAATTTTTATAATAATATATTAATGAATATAATAGTTTACATAAAAATATAGTTGAAAAGATTAATATATTCAAAAAAAGTATTTGTGCTGTGTTTGTTCCGAATTTTCTTTATTATATAAAACACTGTTTATCATTCAAAAAACAGTACATGCATCCACATATCGTGCAGATAAAATGAATAATTTGAGCAGTCACTTAGTACTGTAAAGGCTACTCGTTTACAAGAATATAAGGATTTTATACACAGCTTCTTTCAGCAATAAATGAAATCCGCGCTGTTTTATCGTCCGACATATTGCATGAACCAGATGGGTGCACTACCTCATGACTCACCTGGTATTAAGTAATCAGATTAGTTTATTCATTACAACCTGAAAAAATGCGGTTGTAGATTTAAAACAATTGCATAACGGATGCTCTATCATTGAAGCCCAAACGGGAGAATTTCTAGAAGCGCGGCAGAAATAGGAAGGACGGCGATACTTACCCTTGCGGGCTCACAGTACGTTACACCACTAGGACTTCTTTGATTATGGTATTAATCAGTCTGATCGTTGCCTTTTTAGGGACACTTTTCTATAACCCTAAGATTTTTTTTTAAGTATTAAAGCTACTAATAGAGTAAGAATCATATTTCATGCTAAAGAAACGACTAAGAAACTCACTTAATATTTGAAACTAGAATCATAAACAAGGAAACCTTTTCAAACTCAATTACCTATTGCGATGGGAAGTACAAAGTTAAGGTTCCGTGTGGAGCCCGGAAGGTAGCAGGTGGCTACGCTATAATGGACGTCTCGTTTTCCCGTCAACTAAACTTTGAGCATCAAGTATACACTTAATTGAGGCTATTTCGTCGGAAAGAATATTGTCAATTATTGTTAACGGGATGATTTGAGAATTTATCTGTCAAATAACATCAATAACTTGTTTACACCTAACGAAAACGAAAGTTATTAGTGATTCTTTCTGAGTAATTCGTGAATTCAAAAGAAGTATATATATATGGGACGTTGCACTGTAATCATTATTACATTAAGCATTATAACATATCACACGCCTAGTAGTTTAACACTCCATTATCATTTCCATTACCTAATGAGACGTACAACGACACGCGACTGCGCATCATATTCGTCGATGTGTGGATTCTTGTGTGTTTCCGAGACATTTATGGCAGTATAATAAAGACGGACAAATATTATTAATTCTATTGAGGTGTTTGTTTGAATACTGATATTTATTCCTCTGTATATTTTATCTTCAGATTTTATTATTTTCCTTTTGAATGTTGCGAGAGTCGATGGTGTATATTAATGTGCACTAACATATTGATTATAATAATTATTTACAAGTACGAGTGATATGTATTCGATTTCAATCATTAATTGTTATTTAAAAAAATGTTGTCGAATAAGCGATTTTAGGGTTATTTGGTAATTATCTACTGTGTATAAATTACGAATAGTTTAAACCTAATTCCGATTAGTGTCGTAATAGGTGTGTGAAATGAGACTACATAGTCAATCAGAAAACTATAATACATTACGTTTGTTACTTTTTTAAATTTTGAATTTTGCGTACTTTCCGCAAGTAAGCGCGCACGGTTAGGTTACCACCTTTCTGTCCATTTTTGCTGCCCATTAGTCAGGCCATAATGCCTCACGGTGTTAGGTGGCATTAATATTGTACTGTACATTTGCTTTGGTAACAAATTGACATCAGGCTCGAGAGTTCATTCACCCACCTTCTCAAAATAACAAAAGTTTTATTTTTTATATGCATAGGTGACGGTGATCGCAGAGGAGGTGTCCACGTGTGTGTGTTGGCCGCGCATGCGCCTCGAGAGAGTGCTGCGACATCGCCCCGCACTCAAGGTCGTGCTCGACTGCCTCATAGGTGAGCCCGAAGACGATCTTCAATTCACTTCAGCAATCTAATCAGTCAACTGACTCACCAACATAATTGAATATGCAATTTCGAAAAGGGCACATCTCTGAAAATGTAAAATGTTCAGGAAATTAAAAAAAAACTGATTATTTTCTAAAGCAGTGTAAAATTTAAAATATTAACTTTTGAGATATATATTTTAGTGTTAATTAGCAGTTGAAAATTACTGGAATTATTATAAAATGGGTGTAGGTAAGCCTCAAAACTACATGTATATGAAAAAACGTGTTTGACAAAATATGCGACATGTGCCCTTTTCGAAATTGCATATTCAATTAATTTACTACTATTCTAAGCTGGAAAATTTTATCTAGAAGAATATTTATCAGAAGCAGCAATAAATCGCATTCAATGACGTTTCAACTGAAAATTCCCAAATTCCAAATCCTAAAGTAATGCGTTTCGGTCTGAAGGGTAGGTCAGCCGTTGTAACTACATTGAGACCTTAGAACTCATATCTCAAAGTGGATGGCGACATTTGCGTTGTAGATGTCTGTGGACTCGTCCACCAATCTAAGCAATAAAAATAAAATAAAACATTTTAATAAATACGATATTTAGAGTTAAAATAAAAGCGTAGTCTTCCTAGAATGAGTATGCATTGTTATAGAGGGAACCCCGTAGCCCCTTATTATTAGAGGAGTTCTAAGCTCGTCCATATTTTCTTTCTATTCAATACGAATAATCCTTAACCATCGTATCGATGAATCTCATAGCATTTAGTAGTTCTCTAGGGCTGTTTCTCTATTCTTTACGCCCGGATGAGAACATTTTGAAAGTTAAAAGATTATGATAACTAATACAAACGCAAAAATTCAATATATTACTTTTTCTTTTATTGCTTAGATGACTGGACGAGCTCACAGTCCACGTGGTGTTAAGTGGTTACCGGAGCCCATAGACATCCACAACGTAAATGCGCCACCCACCTTGAGATATAAGTTCTAAGGTCTCAAGTATAGTTACAACGGCTGCCCCACCCTTCAAACCGAAACGCATTACTGCTTCACGGCAGAAATAGGCAGGGCGGTGGTACCCACCCGCGCGGACTCAAAAGAGGTCCTACCACCTGTAATTACGCAAATTATAATTTGGCGGGTTTGATTTTTATTACACGATGTTATTCCTTCCTCGTGGAAGTCAATCGTGAACATTTTTTAAGTACGTATTTCATTAGAAAAATTGGTACCCGCCTGCGGGATTCGAACACCGGTGCATCGCTAGATACGAATGCACCGGACGTCTTATCCTTTAGGCCACGACGACTTCAAATTACTTTTATTAATTAAAATAAAATTCATAATATTGACATGAAAAACCTTCCATATTCACCGAGGATTACAAGTTATGATAAAACCTTCCATATTATGTTAACATAAAATTAATTGCAATTACTTAGAATGAGCGCACAATATTTTAGCGATATCAAAACATATCCATGACGCAAACGAGATAACACTGACAAAATTGCAAACAATATAACCTCACTTAATAGATACATAGCGAAGGACTTGTTTTTTAAAGGCTTCCGAAAATGTAGGCTTATTAATTATCTAATTATAAAACTGTTTCTGCGTGTTTTATTGTTTATTAACATTTATATTTGTCAGACCGTCGCTAACTAATTTCAATAATGTGTAGGTACTTTTTAAAAACATCATAATTCATGAGCGTTACTTTTAAAAGTATTTTTCAGAGATGAGCTTTACGCAGACGTTTTATTAGTGGTAGGACGTCTGTCTATTTCTGCCGTGAAGCAGTAATGCGTTTCGGTTTGAAGAGTAGGGCAGCCGTTGTACTGTAAAAACTGAGATCTTAGAAGTCATATCTCGAGGTAGGTGGCGACATTTACTTTGTAGATGTCTATGCGCTCCGGTAACCATTTAACCAAGTGGGCCGTGAGCTCCGCTACCCATCTAAGCAATAAATAAATAAAAAGATGGTTTCATCAAAAATCAAATTAGCATAGTTAAAGTTTAAAATAAATGATGTACCTACCTACCTATTCGTGATAAAAATTTATGAAGAAAAAAATAAAGTATATGAGTTACGTTCGTAGAGTGTAGGTTTCAGTAAAACGACCCCGCTACAAATAAGCAATACAAAACTCCTATACAAAACAATTTACCGATACAATCGCGCACTGATTAAAGTCGAGAACGTTGGTCGATGATTCAGCGTTTTTGCTTAATTCAATGAAACCACGACTTAAATAAAACTAATCATTAATACTGCGAAACGCTACGGCTTACAAAACTTGATTATAAAAACACATACATACATATGATTTGTTAAAAGAGTTGTGTTTGGGGCGACACATCATATCCCATGATAATGCTTATATCAAACTGAATCTTATCACTCAGCTTGAGAATCGATCGTTAAATCCTCAGACAAGAGAGAATAATTTCTCAGGATGGTGATAAACGATATATGGCATAATATTTTTGTATGCTACGTATAATTACACCCGTCTAAAGGTAAAACCAATTAACTGCCAATTCTTCGGTTTGACACATTTCCATATTATTATTAGATACATCAAAGAATTATCTTCTTAATTATAAACCAATCAGCCGTACTCGCCTGCTTCGCTAGGCATTTAAAATTAACATTATTATTTATTGTCACTATTATTAGGGATCCAACACCCATATAAATATTAGCCTATCCATTAAGTGCATGTATTTTCTACATGGATACCAAGTTTTAAGTCAATCGGATGCATGGTTTAGTAGTTATAACGGAACATCCGTAAAAACCACTGTAGATTTATATATTAGTATAGATTAAACCGCAGAACATATTTGATTCTTTTATTGTGAGTACTTTTAAAACTCTGAAAGAAATGTCAGCGTTTCCAGGGCTCGTTCCACAAATAGATTAAATCTTAAAAATATTTTTTTTTTTAAATTAAAAACACTTTCAGTAGACGAAAATATTTTTAGCGTGTATGTAGTTACGTCAGTTATTTTCGTCCTTCAACAAACGTTCGAGTTGGAGCCTTCAATAAACAACACATCCATCTCCTGGTAACACCGAAACATTTTTATGTAAATGTAAAATGGAATCGATTCTGTTGACATGGAAATGACATCACATACAAACAGTCGTATTGAAACCGTTAAAACTAAATGATCTAAAGTTAAAATAGTATTAAATGATCAGATTTTTTTCGTTGTAATCGTGTTTACAAGTAGAATTATGAAATAAATTTTACTTAACTTTATCTTGGAAATCCTGTTTTTCCTACGATTATTTCCTTTTATGCACCGCACATAACGTGTATGAAAAATATCAGGAGGCTCGTTTTAGTATTAAGACATGTAACAAACAAGCAAACAATAAACTCACTTTCCCACAGACTGGATTAGTGAAGCCCGGTAACCCTGCACTGTAACTTATGGAAATATTAAGATCACATGAAAATATATATAAAACAATTTGTTAAAATGATTATGTAATTGATAAAAGTTTCGTTCATTCACCTTGTAATTAATTATGAGAATAAAATGAAATATAATAAAAAAGGCAGTCATCGTTTTTAAATCATCTTAAATTTTCATGGTTACTACTGTTTTTTTTATTGCACTTGTAGGCAGACGAGCACACGGCCCAACTGATGGTGAGTGGTTACCGTCGCCCATGGACTTCAGCAACGCCAGGGGCAGAGCCAAGCCGCTGTCTTGTACTTTTTTCTATATTCGTATCGAAAAATTATTAAATGTCTTTTTACCAACTAACCAAAAGACAATCGTATCATCGTTATGCTTTTTTTGATGAAAATTCTTAATCCTTGATCTCACATCGTATTCTAGGTAAAGACATTACTCACAAACTATACTCAGTGAGTGAAGGCTTAGGACTGGGTGCGGCGGGCGAACGAGAAGGAACACCGTTGCACCTGACGCGGTCTGCCAGCGTTGACGCGGTGCATGAAGGTGCCCGTGGACGTCTCCGTAGTGCTGCCTGGCGAGCTCGCACCCCCGCACCCAAGGGTCAGATACAAGGTAAATAATTGCAATAAACTGATGTTTTAAGTTAATCAATTTTGGACTGTAGTGAATTCGTAAATGACAACTCACAATTACGCAACTGCAATGGTTACTGACCTATGGAGCCGAGATGTGGACACTGAATGAAGGCAGGGCTGGTCCGAAAGTTCAAAATCACTTAGCGACCCATAGAACGAGCTATGCCCTGTGTTTCTCTGAGGGATCGTATCAGGAATGCAGTGATACGCCAAAGAACCAAAGTTACCGACATGGCCCAAAGTATAAACAAGTTGAAGTGACAATGGGCTGGTCATATCCGGTAGTAGGTAGATACGAACGGCCCAAGATTGGGACGTGTGGCGTACCTTAGAAGAGGACTATTTCCGACAGTGGACAAAAATAAGCTGTTAATAGAATAGATACTGAACTGACCGGTTACGCTGATTATGGTATTATAATTGGATGGATATTACTGGTGGTGGGACCTCTTGTGAGTCCACGCGGGTGGGTACCACCGCCCTGCCTATTTCTGCCGTGAAGCAGTAATTCGTTTCGGTTTGAAGGGTGGGGCAGCCGTTGTAACTATACTTGAGACCTTAGAACTTATATCTCAAGGTGGGTGGCGCATTTACGTTGTGGATGTCTATGGGCTCCGGTAACCACTTAACACCACGTGGGCTGTGTGCTCGTTCACCCGTCTAAGCAATAAAAAAAGGCCTATTTCCAACAGTGGACAAAAATAAGCTGTTAATAGAATCGATACTGAACTGACCGGTTACGCTGATTATAATTTAATGTACTACCCATTTATTACCAGGGGCATCGTACTGGCAGCCAGTGGTAGCACGACAGTTTCTCCGACAGTCACCGTTCGGACGACTCAATCAGCCTCCGCGATTGGTCGCACAGTCTTCATCGGCAAGTTTACAAACGCCAGCCCGCAAGCGCAGTCCACCCAGGAGGCCAGCATCGTTGCGGCGCGGTCGCGAAGTAAAGTTCGCTGAGATAACGCCGGAGCCGGCCGTGTGACGCGGGCCGCGGCTCCAGCCAGAGCTGGTGCCGCTCGTTTCCCCACCGTTTTCCCCCAACTCGTCTTCACCCCCCCTGACGTCCCCCTGACAGGAAATCGAGCGAACGTACATGCCGCACATGACTGATTTTTGAACTAAAAGAAGTTTGCTCTTTAGCAGTGCTACGTTCGAAATGCAAAAGACTTGTTTGTTGTTAACGTTTTCCATACTATTTCAAATTATTTACAAAAGAGCTTCCTGTTAAGTATTGAATGGTCAATGTTTATTTTTAATATTTGAATTAAATGCTTCCTCGTTCGCTCGGAAATCGTAAATAGTGTAAGGAATATTTAAAAAAAACTGAACGAAAAAGTAAAAAAAGACTCAGTGATAGAGTGAATCAATGATCATAATGTGTATGTTTAAGAATGTGTAATTATTGTGTGATGAAATAGTCTAGCTTTGTTTGTTATGTGCAAAACAGTGTACTTATTATAAAGTAACGCTCAAATACCCCAATAAATAATCCAAGAAACAGCATTTCTGTAAATAATGCTATAAAAACGAGTTATGTTCCGTATCATGTATAAAAAAAAGTAACACTGACTTTATGGAATTGTGACTAATTTATAGCAATGAATGTTTCGACTGTGGAGCCCTAAAAATGTATAGTACCTATAAATGTTACACTATAGATTGTTTACTAGTATTAAGAAGAATTAAATCGTGATAAAGTAATAATAAGGTTAGATAATGCGCGGTGCATTTATGTATTGGTAAGTGTCATGTTTGCCTTAATTTTAAATCAATTGTTAAACCACAATCCAAATATTGAGGTCAAATAAGCAACGAGATTTAACGGAAACGTAAAAAAAAGCTTCCTGAAACAATGCAGTAAACAATGAAATCCTCTAATTATTTTGAATATTATTAAGCAGATCGTTAACTTAACATTTCAAATAGTCTTTCACGTTTTATCTGGGACCGTTTGATTTCTAGTTGCTGATTAGTTTTTTATTGTCATTACAATATTTCCATTTATTGTCATTACAAAACCTTCCTATTAATTGGTCTAAAGGATCTATAGTTAAATAGCAAAAAAACTGAACTCTTATCACATATCGCCACATCATCACTAACACCGTCATCGCGGCCAATTTAAATATCGTGTTACTTATTAAAGGGTGTTACTTTTTTTTTCTTAAACCGAGTTAGTTTCAGATTAACATCAATTCATTTTTCTCCGATCTCACATCCTATAGTATATGTATAATTTTAGAACATTTTATGTTTGAAATTAGTGAAGAACATTCTTTTTAGATTTGGACGAAGCTACGAAAATCACTTTTGTTCCAAGAGAAGTTGTATATATCTTCACTATCAGTCTACTACTTCACAGACAAAAAGGCTCATGAAATCATGAATCCGCGTCCATAATTTTATTAAAGACTTCGGGCTGAGTTAGGTTAACTCCGGTCATCGTTCTCGTCGAACCTGTCGCTTGCGACAAAGGGCTTGACGAGTAAATTAACCCACAGACACAGCCCACTGAGTTTCTCGCCGGATCTTCTCAGTGGTTCGTGTTTCCGATCCGGTGGTAGATTCTGCGAAGCACGGCTCTTGCTAGGGTTCGTGTTAGCAACGTCGCCAGGTTTGAGCTCAGTGAGCTCACCTACTAGTTGAGGTTACGCTGAAATAGCCTCTTAAGGCTATCAGCTTAGGTAAGAAAAAAAAGGTTAACTGTTATTTTAAAAATTTGATCACTCAAAAATATTGGTTGATTCTAACGGACGAAAAAAAAACAGTGCACAGCAGTACACTGACAATTTTAAGATTAGTATCAAAATTTTTCAAGTTTTGAAGTTATACTTCTTTAGGCGCGTTATGAAAAATTGATGAGAGTGAAATTTTACGATGCGCGCGCACCGTGACACAAAATTAACAGAATGAAGTGCTCACTAAATCGCTCATTACAATACGACCGACGTAACTTGGCGAGTCTGAATATAGCCGCAGGTGAACTTTCCGAACCGTACCGAGAATTACCGAACTTATACGATGTCAAGAAAAGTGATGTCCAATATGCGTGTTTGAGGATGTTGTTTAATCGATTTTTGTTACTTATGTACGCGCGTAAGAAGATTCTTACGCGTAAGAAGATTCTTACGCGCGTACATAAGTACACGCACCCTTTTTTTTTTTAAGAACGTGCCGTTTGTAAGTTTGATTCTCAACGCCCCTATTAATTTGTTACAAGTATGTACCGCCTATACAACGAGACCTCCAACTAATAATACATTCTTAATATTTTCTTTAAATCTAAAGTAAGTGGAATTGTAAGACACATGTATTATAATAACCATGCAACAATTTAATTAAAAAATTCTTGGTTCTTCACTCTAAGCAAATATCCAAAAACGAACTAATCAAAAACCAACAACCAATTCAATCCAAACAATTTTCATTAAATCTTTCTTTTCATTAAATGTTCTTAATGTTCTAAAAATACTAAAACCTCAAATGTTACTAAATGAATAACGGATTTGTGATCATCACGTTTTTTGCTATTTGACCATGGAATCCTAAAACAAATTGAATTATATTTATTGCAATGTTTTTTTTTTTTAATTTACCCCACAGTTAACAAACGCATTAAAAGTAATGTTAGCTTAAGTCGTATTTTGTCTTTTTCTGTCGCATTTTAAGCAGCCCTTTTTTTATAATATTTAACATTGTGATTATTTTGTCATTACATTGCCACTTTTGTACTATTACTGAAAATGAAATTCACTCTCAAAAATTCACACGAGAACCGTTTTCTTTAATAGTACACGTATTTGTAGTATATTTTCATATTCAAAGTTTTTCGCATAAATAAACTAACTTAATTTACACAAATACTTAACGCAAATAAAATTTCTTATCACAGTATCACAAGCACAACAAATTTTAATTAAATTTTTAATTCAATTTTATTCATAAAAAAATTAATTCAATTACTATTAAGGCCAAATGTATGGTAGTTAAACACTACCCAGCTGACAAGCATATTATTATATGGATGTAAGACAAGATCCGGTGTTTAAGTGACTTTCGGTCATCAGTTTGCCAGTATATGTGGTGATTACCTTTCTTGTGGGTCGGTAAGAAATCGCCGCACTTCCACTTGTACGTTGGGTATGAAGTGTTAAAATCGACTCGAAGGAGACAGACTCTCGTACCACAGCCCAGGTGCTAACTTCAAATCAGCAAACGCTCAATAACGAATCAGGCACAAATTCCGCATCTCTCCAGGCTAACACTCTCACGGGACGCCGAGTCGGCGATTGTAGCTATTGCGATTATAGAACCACACATGCCACACAATGACAGCAACCCTAGTATATAGCAATAAGCAAACTGTATGACCAGAAGTCATTTAAAAAGGGATCTTTGACTAACATAATACAGTTACTATATCAAAATATATGACGACATAGGAGAACAAAGGGTCAGTATGCAATTATCAATTGCTCCGAGAATTAATTGAGGAATTAATAAGCCAGCTACTCAATGTTGTCGTTGCTAAAATGGCCTATCCTAATTTAGTCACAAAATTCGAGTTTATTCTAAATAGACCTCCCCGCAATTTATAAAGTTACGCTTCTTAGCCTTGATCCGTTTGATTCCCCATTGTATAAAAACGGGCATTGTAAATTTTTAACATCTAATTAATAGATACCCATACAATAAAAATAACTTGTTGTCGTTCGTGTTTAGTTGATGTTGCTTTATTCGTGTAAAATACATGTGTTTAGATGAAATAGCACGTAGCGTGTACTTTCAGTCAAATGCGACGAATAACTATCTATTTAATATAGAAACAATATTTGATTAGGACAGAATTGAGTTTGTTTATTATACAAATAATAATAAATAATAATAATAGTAAAGAATCATTTTTTTAATCAGACTAAGTTTTAAATTAAAAATAAAAAAATTACAAAATTATTTGTTTGGTTTGCTATGACACAAGAACAACAGCGGGGGCAATAGCTTTGTTTTTTTTAGAATTAACCAAACTTCACCAAATACTGTATTTTATATCGAAAGGCTTCAAATGAAAAGATTTAAATGGCCAATAATTAACAAATTAATTTTTCGAAATCAGTTTATCGCTTTGCTGTAACTTATTGTCAGTGGTCGATTATGTCACATGCGCCATAAAATCACGAATCCTTCTATAGAAATATGTAAGAATCGACCACCATTGATTTTCAAATAAATTAATATAATATAATTTTGTTTCGAATAGTGGTTTATTTGTGATAATTTGGAAGAATAAATATATACTAACACTAGTATTAACTGTACCGCTAAGAAATATTAAGTACTGGGCGCATGACAGCTTACTTTATACTCGTAGTCAACTCAAGAGCTGAAATTTAAGATCTATTTAACCAAGAACAAGTTGGTTTTAAAATTTTCAGCTCCTATTATTTTTTAAACATCATTACCAAATAAACACAATTTTGTCCTAAGTACAATAAACACGTTTCACAAGAATACATATCTCTTCGTCGTTGTGTATAATCTTGTTATTTACTTCTTCGACGTAGTAAAAATGTTCTCGGTGGGCTTTATTTAATAACGCAGTAGATTAGTTAAATGGTCTAGAAATATTACGTTTCTAAGGTATTTACAGTGCTTCTGTAACATGATCTTCCATATTCTAAAAGAAAGAGAGAGAGAGAGAAATTTAAATTAGTAAGTTATATTTGGTTAAACAATATAACAAATATCTAGGATTTAAATAATGCAAGTGGTTCTAATTTTACAAGCTACAAAATAAAGAATCATTTAACAAATAACAGCACTTTCAATCGCACTGATCTCTTCTAAAATATTATTATAAATTTGTATTCTTTCTTAACTGTTGGCCTTGCTCTTTTAGTAATAAATATAACGTTAAAGGCTAGTGAAATTTTGATAAAACTAATAACAACTAGACTTGGAATTGTAAAGTATAAGGTGTAACAAAGCATTATGAACGATTTACTGTATAATTGTATTAATTTAAAACTACTCTGCACATAATATACTATTCTTCTCTATCATATTATTAAATAGTTACACTATTGTGGATCACGTTATTTAATTTATTTGTTTACATCATAGAATTGATTGCGCGTTATTATTCTATTTTATATTTAATTAAATAATTCTAAAACTATTAGTTTTACGCGTTGATTCTAGTTGAATCTTTTTGGTAATTTTGTATCAAATTTATTTCCTACTTAATATTTATAATTACTTATAATAAAGGCGAAAAACTTGTACATGTAAATTTAACAAAAGCAAAGTATAAATACTAAATGTGTGTTTCCTAGAGTTGTTTGTTTAAGCATAGTTTATTTAAATGTAATTTAATAATAAGTTTAAAAATTATAGTGCTTTTGTTATAGGGTTTGTAATCCAAGCGGCTTCAATTATATTATATCCCGATAAGTTAATATAAAACTTAACTGTACTAGATACATCTTTTCATTTTTGAGCTTGTAATCTTTTAATTTTTATATTAAATAGAAAACACAGAAGCTCACAGCTCAACATAAATACTAGTATCTGCTTTAACTTATGAATCAATTGCTTTAGAATAATGGTACTTCTGCTCTTAAAAATAGGACTCATGATTACTTCGCGACGAACTAAGCCGAATTATGTAGGTAAATAGTCCGGGTCAATAACATTCTCACAGCACCTACAAATTTAATTGAAATTAGATTATTTAAAGTATCACTATCGAATATATAAATATGTTTTTTTATACATACAAATGAAATCAATGTGGTCAAATCAGGACTACAAGGCAAACAATTAACGTTTCATTTTATCAAATTATTGATTGATTTATTTTGTTTATACAGTTTTACGTCAGTCTTCCGTTCATTTCTTATCATGCAACCATAGTCTTCCTTATTATTTATTTATTTATTTAAGGATTACCGCCAGGGTTTACAGTAAGACATAAAATAATATTGACATGTATAGAGCAATTGATAACTGCAACTCTAATTAGAGACAATCACAGCATGCATTACATTAATATATCAATAGAGTAATGCATTACATTAATATATCAATAGTAGAATTTAACAATACTATTAATAATAATTAAAAATTTAAACAAAAGAAAGACAACAAGGACAGTAATACCCGAGTACTCAGACCAAGGCTGAGGTTGAGGTTCAACAACAACTTTTTATAATTTTGTTCTTGAATATTGGAAGGGAATCGCCAAATAGGTACCTTAACAATGATTGAATACGAATGAATATTCACTATACTTTAAAATTAAACATGCCTAGCAACCGACACCAGCTGGCCTAAGATACATCTTAGACTGAATCGATGAATGTTTTTGGTGATTTTTTCATGTTTGCTGATCTAATAATGTGTCATAACTGAATTGAATACTGATGAATGAAACATAAACTGAAATTTTGTTACTGATTTATCGAGCTTGACGTATTCATTTTATTCCTCCTACCAGTTTTCAAAAATGTAGATTCGGCACGATTGAGAAATTGACATTTCTTGAGTAATAGTAAGCTGGTTTACGAATGATAAATCAGGATATAGACAACCGGACATAGCCAGCATAGCAATTTAAAATGAATTACAAGTAATTTGATGACAAATGAAAACGAATGTATATTTCAGGGTAAAAGCCAAACACCAATAACAGCCCATTGTATACTCGTATTAAGCGATGCGACTTTTCTAAGAAAATAAATACCTACTTCACATGTGCTCACGAATGTCGTCCAGAATAACAAAGAGCATCGTGTTATAAAAATGTAACCCATATATAATATATTTATTTGCGTATTTACTTGTTCTGTTTCTACTACACACAATGCGATTGTTTTATTTCTGCTACAAAGCAGTCATGCATTCTGGTTTTCTGGATGTGATAGTGTTACTAAGAAGGATAGACGCAAAGATATAAATACGTAGATAATAGATTTAAGTTGATTGAATGTAATTTAAATCTGTGACCGTTTGAAATATAATAACTAATACATGCTTATGAATGTCCATGATTCAGACTTTCGCTGTATCATTGAAATTTAAAGCCAGTCGACGAAATTCTGCGAAATTACTTAATGAAAATTGAAACGAGTCTTTTAATAAATCCAAATGTACAAAAACTGAAGAGAACTGTTACTTTTTGTTGTTGTTATTTGTTAACATACATAGGAACTAGTGATAGAACTCGAATGAAACATGGCGGTTTCTACTAGAGTTGTATTTGTTATTCAGAATAAACCTAATTTTTTTTCTAGGTGACGTCCTTATTGGCCTCTGTTCAAAACCTCGATCCAAAGCATTCGAATGCACTCGTTGTCAATATTTATTCGAAGTGAACGCTCAAATCTGTCTTCGATATTGAACTAGATTAATTTTGCTTCAATCGAAGAAATCCCCAGAATGATTTTTTTACTCACGGCCCAGCCCTCTACTAACTAATACAGTACCTACAGAAACCTTCGATCCCTTCTTGTAAACTATGTCCCAAAAGTCTGATAGCCACTGCGATATACCGACCACAAGAAATTCTGTTACGAAACTCATGTTTTTTTTCCTACGTAATCATTGGTAACCTAAGGGCTATGCCAACTTCACGCGCACCAGAAGCTGAGCTCACGGGCTCAACCTGAGAGAATTGCCAACACTAGCCCTAGCAAGAGCAGTGCTTCGCTGAATCAACTACCGGATCGGAATCGCGACCCACTAAGAAGATCCGGCGAGAAACTCATTGGGTATCCGTGTTATTATCCGCATAGCAATATATTATGTCAATCTATGTAATTTATATGTATATAAGATGAAAAGCGAAGGACGTCGAAAAAACCTCGAAAAAACCTTTTAAAGGTAGTCCTTTTTTATCCTATCCAAGTTACCAGTCGACTATAAAAGTATTACCATGACTAGGACTATCACTATTAAGTTTCTGTTCTTAAATAGAACTTCAAAATTTTCATGCACTTCTTATCTATTTAACCAAGCCGCTTGTGACTGCTTCAATTATTTATCAGAAAACGTAACAATTTAGAATAATATAACTAATTTGATTTATTTCTATAATTTTATGCTAGTGAATGACAATGTTGTAATGAAATTTACAACTACACTTCAAATTATTTACCTCGCGCTGGAGAATTGAGAAGAATTTATACAAAGAATGTCAGCTTTGTAATTTGATCTTCAATATTATGAGTCAGAGTACCTACATTCACCGTAAAGATTATTAATTATATTCATGTATTTATCAACTTTATAAACATGTTTATTGTGTCTTTAATAAAAGAATTGCTTAATAATCTATTTTTATAATTATTTGATGAATCCCTAATACCTAAAGTGGTAAATTATTTACCTAAATGAACTAAGCAAAAGAAGTTAAGAAAATTTATTTTAAGTTAACTAGATAATGTTCATTATTTAAATTTTAAAACCCAAAAATTAAATAAAATTTCAATGTATGTGAAATATGTATATAAATGGTCCGTGTCCTTAAATCACCAAGCTTATCAAATCGGTAATCAAATGAAATTGTATCATTTATTATACCCTTGATTTGATATTTATTAAGAAAGAACTACTTGAAGTGGAGTGATTAGTTTTTTACGTGGCTGTGGCTCTTCTATTGCTGTGCTATCCATCGGTGATGGTAGCCAGTTACGTTAGATGGGATAAAAAACAAAATGACAATATTTTTTTTAATAATTCAGTTGAAACAATTATCATACCTACACCTGGATATATCTCACACAACTTTCTCCAGAACGGGCTTATCTGGGCAGTATGTCGCCAACGGTTTTACCTAACCTTTAAAAGGTTATCAATGCTTTACGATACCACCGTAAGTAAGTTAAGAAACACATACAGTATTGAAATGTTTTGGACAACGTAACAGATTAAATCATTTTTCCAAACTATTTTTTCTGCAATTTACTCGATAACCCTCAACATTGAAAGCTATTTAGTCTGGCTTTTTACTACTAGGCATTTATATATTTAACTTTTTTATTTATTGTAAATCATCATTCTTACTGAGAATGTGAAAACTTATTTAAATCTGTTGCTAAACAACACCGACTATGTCATCATTAAAACCCATTGCATTTTTAATTTCCCATAGTTGCTTTATCACTCTAATAGTAAAACTCGCAAGTTGGTTATTATGCGCGCTAAGAGTCAAGTTATGGTACGTACTGAAGCAGCGATGCCGGCTCGACCCAGATATATGCATTAGTACGGCTAACCTCACAGCTCACTGACGTCGTACGACTTACGAAATAACATAGTTAAATGAATAATTTACTCGAATGTTAATCAATTCCGTGGCCCACTGATAATGAGGCGATAACGCTCAGTAGTGATCGCGACCGAACACAGGGCTCGCGTCATGCTCTTTATAATTATTTAAAATTCGTGTTCTTAGTTCTTTCATAGCAATGTCGATTCTTGTTCGTAGATCTGTATTCCAACTTAGAACCGTGAACCGGTGCCGGAAAATCAAGCTGACGACGCAAAGTGTGAGTAACAAGAAGTCATATCATAAATACTTATAGCAACAACAAAAAATAAAGATAGGAATAACCTTATGCAAAGACGTTTTAGTATTTACTTACCTTTTGGCTCAGCCATGAAATTATACATATATTGTAATAGATTCCTAAATACTTATAATAGTTAGAATACAATCATTACACATAGCACCTAATTCGCTTAGACGTACAAGCATTATCGGAAGTACCTATTATATCAATTACCTAATATTGCTAAAATAAAATCTGAACTAATTTTAATTCTTCGTGGCAATAAGATAAGATAACAAGAATTGTTGTTGTTATGAAATTTTAATATGAGCGAAATTTTATCTACTAAATGAATAGGTAATAAAGTTAAGATAACACATAAATCACAAAAACATCAAATCTTAATGTTTTTTTGTATGAAAATTTATCTTCATCCAAAGTCATAATTGTAAAAACAAAAAATAATAATATTAAAATTCATAAACACGTGATTATATTCAACATATTATAATGTAAAACCTGCCACATGATGAAGTTGAAATTTAAGCAATAGTTGTAATACGCAATTTATAATAAAGCAAACGTAGGCATACACTTACGTTGACATTATTGTGCGTTTAAGAATAAAACTATGTATAATGAATCTATGTGCCTAGTGCGAGTTTTTAAACGTTCTCGATAGCGTAAAAGTTAGCTCATATTTGTATGGAATGGGATCGTTAGCGTACGTTTGCTGCTAGGGGCGCTGTTCCAACTGCATACAAAATCGGCTTAACTTTTACGATATCGAGAGCGTTAAGAAACTCGCACTAAGCACACTGGGCGCCTATTACGCCCTTTCGATACTGGACACGCAAGGTTTTTTATTCACTTGAAATCGCTTAATTTGTATGTAATGTGAAGTGGGACTACCGGTACTGACTGACACTTACCAGTTTCTTGTAAATGTATTCACATTATTATTGGAATCCGTGAATTACATGTGTTGAGGACTTCTGTTCGTATAGCAATCATTATGCTACGATTTTTGCATAATAATATCGTCTTTTCGCATTAAAATTGTACAATTTCCAAAAATATTCGAAATCGAGTTAATATGCAGAATCATTTGGTATCCCCAGTATTTTTGTCATAAATACTGTCAAAAGAGCGCGTAGTTTAGATTTAGTATTTTTTTAGTTTACCTATGTTTTGACTACTATTAACAAAATTAATACATTTATCTTACTTTAATGTAACTGGTAAAAAATAAATAAATAAATGTTGCAAAGATGATTAATTTTAAAAATAACACATGTTTAACCTTTAAAATACTCTCCTGTAAAATTAATAAGTTTTGAGATTATACAGTTTTAATGCGAGAAGACGATATCTGTTTTCGATTGGGTTATACTTATGATAAAGTGTCCCAACATTTTTTCAGGCGAGAAACGTATCACAGCTATCTTACAAAACGCCTTTGAATGAAAGCTTAAGCAAAGAGTTAAGGCATTTCCACACCAGTCATGCTGTCAACAAAATCGTCGCTTTCAAGCTTTCTGATATCGGTGAAGGGATACGAGAAGTCGTCATCAAGGAATGGTTAATATTACCTTATAATATAAAACTTGATTATATTTTACAAAACTTACCAGTTTTATAAGACCTATCATTTTAAATTTAATGCAAAATATTTAGATTATTTTCATTTCAAGCAGTCAAGCCCCTATGCCTCGATTTGTAATATGTGTTACTTATGTGTTTATTAGCCAAAAATATATTTAAATTCATTACTTATTTTCAAACGACGACGTATTATACAAAAATTCAAACAATTGTTTGTATGCTAATAGAGCACGCAAATCATTTCGTAACTTTTATGTCGATTAGTTTATTAAGAGTGTTTTACTTTTCGAAGCCTTTTATATTTTAATATAACCCAACATTTAATTGTACGCGGTAACAGATGAAAATGAGTTTCAAGTTTTTTAATTCAGATGATTAATCAATTTTGAGTCCAAGACAAATATCTCGCTAACGACAATTTATAGTACTATAAAGGCGAATTTCCTTTGTCAAATTATTCACATCAATTGATTTTATTTGTTAAATTTGGAACTAAATATTCGTGTTTCTTTCAAGGTTCGTCAAAGTCGGTGATAATGTTCAACAATTCGACAACATTTGCGAAGTACAAAGCGACAAGGCAGCTGTCACCATCACTAGCCGATACGACGGTATCATAACACGGCTGTACCATGATATTGATCAGACCGCTCTTGTAGGACAACCCCTAGTCGATATTGACGTGCAAGACTCTGAAAATGACGGTAAGCTAAGTTTTTTTTATTGCCCTTGTAGACAAACGAGCATTGTGAGTGGCTAGTCATGGACGTTAGCAATGACAGGGCAGTGCCAAACCGCTGCCTACCGTTACGTACTCTCTGCACAAACGCGATTAAGTTTTTTATCTTATTTTTGCTATTGCTTAGATGAGTGGACGAGCTCACAGCTCACCTGGTGTTAAGTGCTTACTGGAGTAAATGCGCCACCCACCTTGAGATATAAGTTCTAAGGTCTCAAGTATGGTTACAACATAAAGTGGACATAAACAAAAAAAATGTTAGTAAATTAAAAGTATAAATGACAAACGCGAATGCTAAACCGACCGAGAAGCAGCAGCGCTATGGTGTTTAAAGCCGTCACGAAAATAAATCGTTTTATTGATTTATTTAAATAATAATTTTCTGTAATAGATTGACTGTATTGAGCGAATACTTTATATGGGCAACCTTAATAAGAAATGGATGATATTGAAGATCCCAGTATATTGGAAAAACTGATATAACACCTACTTTTAGAGTCGATCAAAAAAAGTAGTTAAATAAGTGAATCCAGATTTTTTGACGTCATAATCAGCTGACAAAGCCCTTAAGAGATAATAATATACGTATAAAACCAGACGAATGATTTGTCACTGTTAATCACGAGAAATAAGTTTAAGGGTTCTAATATTTCATAGACGTAACCAGTGTTTTCAAACCAAAACTACTGATGCTACCTCCAAACTAGTTATTTCTTACGCTGCGCCGCAAAGAATTAAAGGTTGCAGTTTAAATGAGAATTGATTAGGGTAAACGAAGATCCATGTGTGATAAATTTTATTCAAATATTGTAAAGACTTTTAATATGATCTAGAGAGCTTTGTTTATTTCAGGGAAACCCACAGACGCTGCGCCTGATAAACCTGTTGCTGAAATAGACGCTCCGAAAACGGAACAAAACCAAAAAATTAAAGTATTAACTACTCCGGCGGTGAGAAGAATCGCCGCTCAATTTAAAGTATGTAATTAAGTATATTTATTGTATACATAGATAAATGAAAGAGCATAAGAATAAAGAACTTAAATTATGTTCGTCATAAACACAAATAACGGGTATTTTTTTGGAGATCGGTGGCCAGACGACACGTGTTACACGGTCGAGTGTCATACACTGATTCCAGTTTGGGTTTTAACGACAAAGAGATCTTCCAACAAGCGGGCGAAATTGCTCGGTAGACCGACAGTCCGAATGCTATTTTTTGGACTCTCACCCCTTCACACTTATCATGAATATGTCGTTAACGATATTCAGACATCTGTCAGATGTATTGTGTTCTATGATAGCTACCCGCTACATATCGCACATACGGTGCGAAAACGTAACTTATGCAAATTATATAATTTTTCAGGAGAAACGTTGGAAAATTCAACATCTTATTATATAATTCTTATAATAGTTCTGCTGGGCTATAGAAATAAAATGATAATATTTAAGCTATAAAACTTCAAAAGCAAACATCTCTCTCGTCTCACTGATAACTACTAAAAAATGTATTTTCTTATACTCAGTTCCGTGTTACACAAATTGCTTAAGTAACTTTATAGCACAGTATGTGCGATATGTATAAAATTCAAAGTGGCTTAATGTTAGCGCGTTCAGAATGCATGAAAAAATATGTAAAATATCAGTTTAATGACCTGGGTATCTATACAACAATAGCACTTGATTTAGAACATCAGAAAATATTTGTACATTGAAAACAAAAGGTATATCAATTTCTTGTCTAAGCATTTCATTATTTTTGTTTTCTTTATTGTTTATAGGTAGACTTGAGTGCCGTTAAAGCAACTGGTAGAAACGGAAGAGTTCTTAAGGAAGACATGTTGTCTCATTTAAACATTAACTCGGATGACTCGAACGAAGTCGTATTACCTGGTAGTGTCAGAGCTGTAGAAATACCAGTTACAAAAGCGCAGGCAAGAGTAGAATTAGCTCTCGAGGATAAAGTTGTCCCTGTTACCGGCTTCCAGAGAGCAATGGTTAAATCTATGACGGAGGCCATGGTGAGTCTTAGCTTATAGTAGCGTAGTGTATAGCAGCGCCATTTCATCTCTTTCTCTAAATATAATTAAAAATAAGAAAAAAAATAAGAATTCACTGGGCAGCAGCGCTCTATATGAATAGATGATTAAACCAGAGTACTATGACCGCCAATTAATGGTTACTGGATGGTTACTGGTAGAGCGTATTTGATACCTGCTCGGGTGGTTAGTACCTTCCTTCTTGTTTTTATGACATCTGTTTTGCAATACAACTGAGATTTCGATCAAATCTCACCACATTTCGTTTCAAGGCAGGTGGTAGGCTTCACGTTGCTATGTCAACGGGTACCTGAAAACACTTTACACCAGGTGGACGGTAAGCTCGTTTGTTGGACAAACTACGGTGAAGTGTTCTTTCCACCTATAGTGAAGGTCAAAATAATTTGTCACTCAGCTCTTAAGAGCTGCAGAGTAATAAACGCTCAGATCGCAAAAACCACTACCGTCACTAAAATATTAGAATGTTTCTCTTAATATCCATAATCTCATTTATTTTTCACTGTTTCTCTTCGAGTAGTTCCGATTACTGACTGACTGCGTATCATCCCTGCAACGCTTTTATAGTCGATACCACATCCCTAAAGTTATTGAGAATATTCCACACATCTCTAGTATTGTTTCCGCTATCTGACAATAGATGGCGTTGTACTTCTCGAGCGTTCTAGGTGCTACTAGATCCTTCGATATTCGTTCGACTATTCGGCGATAGATGGCGTTACTCTTACCGGCGTAGCAATATAAAAAAGCTAAGGCCTTACGTATAATACGTAGGGTTTTTGTGTCATCTCGCTAGTGCTTAGAGGCCTTTGCGGTATTCAGCGTCTGCATTAACTTGTTATACAGAAAATCTAAATTAGGGGCCGTCGACCATCAGACATTTGAAATTAAGCAACCTATAAAGTGTACCTTACTGTTACGAACCCGCCGCATTCTAATTCATCATTTTTTCCAGAAAATTCCGCATTTTGTATTCAGCGACGAGTACAACGTGACAAAACTGGTTGAATCGCGTGCAGCACTCAAAAAGCAAGCGGAAGAACGTGGGGTTAGACTAACTTACATGCCGATCATCATCAAAGCGGCATCTTTAAGTTTGAGCTATCTACCCATTCTCAACAGTAGTCTCGATAGCTCCTGTGAAAATCTAATTTACAAAGCAAGTCATAACATAGGCGTTGCTATGGATACGCCCAACGGATTAGTCGTACCTGTTATCAAGGTATATAAATAACTTAACTCGTCTTATCTTTAATGTTTGATCCGGTCAAATGGTTATTTATACATTTCGTTATTTTCAGAATATCCAAATTAAATCAATATTAGAAATTGCACAAGAGTTAAATACATTACAAGAGAAAGGATCGAAGGGGCAACTTGGATTGAATGATCTCACCGGCGGGACATTTACAATATCAAATATCGGAATTGTGAGTATTGTTATTCATCTCAATATCAAACTAAATCTATGGTTTATGTCCTAAACTCCTTTGATACATTTCCCGACAATAGAAGCATAATCTATAAAGTACGACAGCACAAAGTTCCTTATTCCGATTCGCCAATATTTTTCTTTTCTTCTCGGCTGTAATGCTTAGATCTATTATTGCAGAAAAGAAATTCAAAGCTTGGCCACATAATAAATCTATAATAAATTAGAAACCGTAAAGCTTGGAAATATTCACTTTTTAAAAGTTGTGATTATTACCTTGAACCTCTAATTTTGACATTTAAGTCTAGTTGAGTTTGCTAGGTACAAGCTGATCGTTGTCATATTTGAGCAACAGCTTTCTTACAAAAGAGTTGTTTATATTATGCATGTTCCTATGTAATGCATGTATGCATGTATGCAATATATTCTAAATGGAATCGGGCTATATATTTATCATTGCCTGGTAATAATTATAGAATATTTAAAGTCTGGTATATCGATTCTAAGTCTATGTCAGAAGTTCAGCCGATTAACTAGAATATCTAATTTTGACAAATCAATATTCGTACAAAATTCCCCAAATAAGAACACTATATAGGCACAAACACAACGAACTGGTCGCGATTCATCGGCATTACAATAAATGTAATTATTGTATTCCATAATAATGTAATAAAATCTAAGCATATGAAGTGTCATTTTTTTTAACAAAATATTTTCGTTTTTAGGTTGGAGGTACTTACACGAAACCGGTGATATTCCCACCGCAAGTTGCAATTGGAGCATTAGGAAAAATACAGGTTAGTAGTTAGTAGTGCGTAACTATATTAATATTTAGTACGTTACTGGGATTGCAAAACGATACACCGCAACAACTTCAATAAATCGCACCTTTAGAATTGAAGTAAAACTTAACTAAAAATTTAAAAAAAATAAGGCTTATACTTTGAACGACTTATAAACATGTATTCGATCAGTTTATAAAATTAAATTTTTAAAACTCAAAATTAAATTTTAGCCTAAAAAAGACAAAGTGTACTTTCCGCCTCTTTTGAATCAAACGTATACTTTGCATACCTTAAAGTTTTAAGGCTTCAAGTATTAAAATTGAAACTGAAAAATCACAATTCTTCAATTACATTTTTCGGGGTTTTTGAAAAACCAAGAATTTTGGATTAAGCCTGCTCTTCAGACACGCTCTCAGGGCCAATCTGATATTATGTTGTTATAATAACGCACATATAGTTTGACTACACTATTTGGCTGTATTGCAAGCCCGCGCGGGCTGATACAATCATCTGTTCTGTTTGCGTCTGTCTGCGAAACAGTTATGAAGACAGAAGCAGCCGTTATAAAATTCAATTTAATTTTGGACCTCATGTTTCAAAGTGGGTGGCGACATTTATGTTGTGATGTCTATTAACTCCGGTAACCAATTAACACCAGTGAACAATAAAAAAAAAAGATGAAATTAACCATAAATTATTTTTCTTTACAGGTTCTCCCGAGATTTGATTCTCAAGGGAACGTTGTGAAGGCTCACATTCTGTCGGTCAGTTGGTCTGCTGACCACAGAGTCATCGACGGCGTGACAATGGCGCGCTTCTCAAATCATCTCAAAAATTATCTTGAAGACCCCTACATTCTACTACTAGACTTATAGCCTTCGTAATGACTGTATTAATGTTGTTGGTTATTATTATATCTAAATATATATTTTTATAAGTTTTCAAATATATACACTTTTTATTTTTAAGTTTATTTTTAGCGCTTGTATTTCTCCTACCTATGCTGATAGCCTTGAGAGGCTATATCAGCGTTAGCGGGCGAGTAGGTGAGCTCACAGGGCAAAACCTGACGCAGTTGCTAACACTGACCCTAGCAAGAGCAGTGCTTCCCAGAATTTACCACCGGATCGGAAACGCGACCCACTGAAAAGATCCGGCGAGAAACTCAGTGGGCTGTGTCTGTGGGTTAGTTTACCCCCCAAGCCCTTCGTCGCAAGCGACGAGTTCGACGAGAACAATGACCGGGTAGCGCTTACTGACTTAAGTAGGTACATACATAGATGACTTAACTGAATACTGGGACCTAAAGAAACAACTACATCTACCTAGTCAGGTCATAAATTCTGTCACATGTTTAATGTAAAATAATTGAAACAAGTTTATTCATTATGTAACCATTCATATACCAAAATGAACTTAACAAAACATAGATTGTTATGACACTAAAGTTTATTCAAAATGACCTCCGTGATTTTGAATACAGGCCTTCAATCTGCGCGGCCAGTCGTCTATCGCAGCACGAATGAGATCCATGTCAATATCGGCGGCTGCCTTAATCAAGGATGTCTTGAGTGACTCCAAATTGGGATGAGGCTTTGAGCACGCCTTTTCCTCCAAGTGTTGCCATATGTTGTAATCTAACGGATTCAAATCTGGACTGGAGGAGGGCCAGTCTTCGTGCCGGATGAAGTCGATTTCACGCGCCGCCAGCCAGTCTTGTGTGCTCTTCGCTCTATGAGCTGGCGCCGAATCTTGTTGGAATACCCAGTGCCTGTTATTGAACATGGTATGAGAAACAGGTTCCACAAGGTTCGTCAGGACTGTATTTTGATACACAACTGCATTCGTTTTTACACCTTTCTCACAAAAATGTACCTCTGTTAAGCCCCAATAAGAAACTCCCAACCATACCATGAGCGAGGATGGAAAATGACCTCGTTGGACACGCGGAATACGGTTGCTCGCTTCTTCACTACTGTGTGCGTACACCTTATCATTTTGTTTGTTGTAGCTCTCTTCTACGGTAAAAATTTTTTCATCCGAAAAAAGAATTTCCCGATATTTTTTTCCCGCGTACCGCTTCAACAAAGCGCGGCATCTCTTCAGTCTCAGGTCCATTAGACGAGCATTCAAACGATGTCCTGTTTTTCTTCGATATGCCCGAAGCCCTAAGTCTTCATTTAACACCCTTTTCACCGTGGTTCTGCTTAACCCCATCTGAAGGGCCAACAGTTTCTGCTTACGTTTGGGATTTCTTTGAATTCGCGCCTTCACAGCTTTTATCACTGCTGGAGTCCTAACAGACCGAGGGCGACCACTTCTTGACCTGTCATCTACACTAGAGTCTTCATTGTATCGTTTGATGGTACGATAAACGAATCTTTTGGTTATATTCAAATTTTTCAGTATGTTAAAAATTTGAATTGGCGCGTAACCGCAACGATGCAACGCAATAACTGCAACACGGTCTTCTTTAAGCGTCCTCTCCATATTTAAAAATGAGTAAAATTCTAAAAGTATACATTTTTATTTTCATGAACAATTCGAAATTCGAATTCAATAAACTTTTTTGTGGCCAGCATTCTAAAAGAAAAGTTTTTACTGTGTGACAATACTTATGACCTGACTAGTTATATATTAATACGTGAAGCAAAAACTTTGTATCCCTTTTTACGAAAATTGCGCGGACGGAGGAGTATGAAATTTTCCACACTTATAGAGAATATAGAGAAGAAGTGCACAATGCTAATATTTTTTTAAAATAATGCGTAAAAGATACATTATATCTATAAAGAAAACATTACACACACTACATACCATGTATTTGACGCACACACGCATGCATACTATTTATTGTCAAACTTTTGTTCTTGGCGTCTGTTGTCAAATTGAGAATAGATTAAATATTGTTTGCCTTTGTTAATATTTTTTATAGTGTAGTCTTCTTCGATCAATAATAGTACGTAGTCTTGGCGAAATTTGTGATTATAGAAGTATAAAATACAATCATAATAGTGTACAAACTTACAATTCCAATTAATTATAGTCGAATTTCGACTACTGCGGGACCTCTAGTAAATATTATTGCTCACTTCGACCAAGGAGATTGAAGTTTCAATAGCCCTAATTATTAGGGCCTAATCAAACCTAAACGCATATTTTGACGATAGAAATAGGCATTAAGGTTACACCGCCTGCTACTTACCTACAAGCAGCTTATAATTTTAACACGCTATTCTTATCAATAGGATTATTACTTTTTATATTATAATTAATTAATGTATTATTAATACGTTGGAAACTCGTTTAAGAAGAAAACTACAAAATAAAAGACAAATAAAATATATTTAACGCTTTAAAACTTCAAATCGGGTCACCTTAAAATAAGCAATAGTCCACTCTGGTATGCAGTTTGGTGTGTATTCGCGATGAAATCTAGCGAATATTTCAGTGAACAACAAAACGTTAACACTATTGATTGGCACCCACTTCAGGGCCAAGAATGCCATATCTACGTCACAGTACTTTTTATCTGAAAGAAACGAAATGAATCAATGAAATCTCGAAATCATTGAAACAAAACTTCTTTGACAAAATTATAATTATGTTATTGAGAGTATATATACCTAATTAATTGAGACGACAATAACGATAGTGGTTAATTTAATAATTTAAATCCATGCACAAAATTATTTGAGCGATATGCTTACTGTTTGCTACTTAAAGTTTGTTATGCTTAAAGAATACACTGCAAAAGTAAGAAGTAAGACTGACTCGGTGGTGCAGTAGTTAGCGGTCCTGGCTGTTGCGCCGAGGGTCGCGGGTTCGATTCCCACATCGGACAAACATTGTGTGATCAATAGGTTTGTTTGCACATCTATATAAGATCTATTTTTCCACAAACAGTAAGTATTTCATGAAATCCATTTATAGCCCGGTTCACATCAATATGTTCAACTAATACCAAGCGGATGGTTGCGATGGTTGGATACGTTGCTTTTGTTTCGTAAGTACTTCGTTTCATCTTAGTAAACACAAATTCGGTTCTCTTTATCAAACCTACTTCATTTTAATATCGCAAAAATATTTAAGAAAGATGAGAAAAAACACAGAAATTACAGGTCCAAATTTAAAATGAACGTCATTGTTTTATTTGTAGCAGCATTTATAAATGGCAAACTATACCTAGTCAGGTCATAAATTCTGTCACATGTTTAATGTAAAATAATTGAAACAAGTTTATTCATTATGTCATTGTAACCATTCATATACCAAAATGAACTTAACAAAACATAGATTCTTATGATACTAAAGTTTATTCAAAATGACCTCCGTGATTTTGAATACAGGCCTTCAATCTGCGCGGCCAGTCGTCTATTGCAGCACGAACGAGGTCCGTGTCAATATCGGCGGCTGCCTTAATCAAGGATGTCTTGAGTGACTCCAAATTGGGATGAGGCTTTGAGCACGCCTTTTCCTCCAAGTGTTGCTATATCTTGTAATCTAACGGATTCAAATCTGGACTGGAGGAGGGCCAGTCTTCGTGCCGGATGAAGTCGATTTCATGCGCCGCCAGCCAGTCTTGTGTGCTCTTCGCTCTATGAGCTGGCGCCGAATCTTGTTGGAATACCCTGTGCCTGTTATTGAACATGGTATGAGAATCAGGTTCCACAAGGTTCGTCAGGACTGTATTTTGATACACAACTGCATTCGTTTTTACACCTTTCTCACAAAAATGTACCTCTGTTAAGCCCCAATAAGAAACTCCCAACCATACCATGAGCGAGGATGGAAAACGACCTCGTTGGACACGCGGAATACGGTTGCTCGCTTCTTCACTACTGTGTGCGTACACCTTATCATTTTGTTTGTTGTAGCTCTCTTCTACGGTAAAATTTTTTTCATCCGAAAAAAGAATTTCCCGATATTTTTTTGCCGCGTCCCGCTTAAACAAAGCGCGGCATCTCTTCAGCCTCAGGTCCATTAGACGAGCATTCAAACGATGTTCTGTTTTTCTTCGATATGCCCGAAGCCCTAAGTCTTCATTTAACACCCTTTTCACCGCGGTTCTGCTTTTTTTTTTTTCCACAGGAGAAAATCGCCGGATCCCCACCCGCGCGGCAGGTGGGGTATGTGGGAGTTGAACCTCACTAAAAACTCCTGCCGCTCACAACCGGCGCCCTACCTCGGACCGGGCCGGAGCCCAGTCGGGGCTATTGAAACGGCGGGACAGGGTTGACGCAGAGCACATTACATCCATCCCACCGTCCCGCGGACGCCACCGTGGTTCTGCTTAACCCCATCTGCAGTGCCAACAATTTCTGCTTACGTTTGGGATTTCTTTGAATTCGCGCCTTCACAGCTTTTATCACTGCTGGAGTCCTAACAGACCGAGGGCGACCACTTCTTGACCTGTCATCTACACTAGAGTCTTCATTGTATCGTTTGATTGTACGATAAACGAATCTTTTGGTTATATTCAAATTTTTCAGTATGTTAAAAATTTGAATTGGCGCGTAACCGCAACGATGCAACGCAATAACTGCAACACGGTCTTCTTTAAGCGTCCACTCCATATTTAAAAATGAGTAAAATTCTAAAAGTATACATTTTTATTTTCATGAACAATTCGAAATTCGAATTCAATAAACTTTTTTGTGGCCAGCATTCTAAAAGAAAAGTTTTTACTGTGTGACAATACTTATGACCTGACTAGTTATATATATATTCTTTATATTTGCGACGCAATTTACGGAAATTCAAGTAAATTTTAATGGTAAATATACAAAAAAGGAAAGTTTGAGGTAATAGATGTACATTCTAAAGCATCATGATGTGTGTGTGTATGACAAATAAATACAGATTGGAGATTATGATTGTTTTGTTTGATCATATCAATAACTTGGAATCATTATCGAGTCCATTAACGATTCCATAGATTAATAATGTAATCTTTGCTAATCTTTGCCAACTTAAATTTTGATAGCACCTATGTATATTAATTTGCTTAAATGCAGTATTTTCCTATTCGCTTCAAGAATATTAAACATTATTCAGAATATTAACACATATTAAAATGGACAATTATTAAATACTAACCAGCTATCCTAATAAAATAGACCTTTCGCGGTGACGATATTTGAATGTCTTCATGTTTAAGTGCCAGTAACGAACGTTGCTTGTTACTCCAGTTTCGATCCAATTCACGCAATAAACTTAATCGAGCTGCTTTCGTAAGCAAACCGTTCAATTCTGAGAACTGACCATCGCTTATAACTTGTGTAACCCGTGATATTGCCTGGGAATTACAGATAGGCTTAGGAACAGTTTAAGGGAATCGTTCTCATTACCTAAACTAAAACAATAATATAATGCCTTTTCAATATAAATTTGCGAAAATTATCAGCATACATACTCATCTTTTTAGTAAGTTTTTGGAACGAAGTTCCTTTATTCTTTATTTGTACACACTGTTAATAAAATACAGCAATTGGGATAAGATATAAAAAATGGCGAGCTTAACTCAACAATTGAGTTATCTACCAGCTAACCGTTCTCAAAGAAGGAAAGCTTTACATTAGTGGGTAGATGAGTACAATCTAATTAGCAATAAAAATAACAAAAATAAACACTAATACATAAGTTCTTTATGGGACGATGCGGAGGGGTACCCTAACCGGGAAAAAACGTCCGTAACGTAAGATTTTTATTAGTGATGCACACAGTGTACGACTTAACTTTATAATAACGTACAAAAATTAACATATTTTTTTATCATTCATTGACCACGATCTCAGAGCGTTCGTTTGCGCAATACATTAACTCTTATGCAAGCAACTGTGAATGAAGTGTACCACAATAAGTTCGCACGTTACCGAATGACCGTGGGTTGTTGCGAAGCATTCAGTTTTATTTTCTTTATACCGCGAATAGAACTTAAATTAATATTTTTATAATAAGGAACTTCGTTCCTATGGTGTCCCACGACACCACACATCTTTTTTATTTCGTGAACGTAAGAATGGTTACAAATAAATCAAAGGTCAGCATTAGGACTGTTTTTCGTTTACGGCAAAAATTTCCTTACATACGATAATTTATTACTAAATAATTACAAAATTATCGTTGATGATTGATCGTCGAGAGATTCATCGGTTTCAGTAAGCAGAGAACATAAAAAATGAATATGCTTGGCTTCATAGACTCCTACAATGGTGGACGCTATGAACCTTAACATATGAGATCCAAGACTTAACGTCGACGACTTAAGCCTTGGATTGAATTGTTTTGCTTGAATTTGATATGTGTTATCACTTATCAAATTAAATGAAAGCAGAAATTAATTAGTCTTATTGATATTGAGTTATCGGAACTTTATAAGCCCGTTAGAAGAAGGCCCTAGCTAATTAAGCTTATCGAACGTTTGTTAAGCCTGTATAATTATTTGCCTACGGGCGACGGACCGTCGAGGCGATCCGCCCGGTCCACTCGGACTGGGTGAATCGCAACCGAGGACGTCTCACCTCCTGAGCGACGCAGGTGCTCACGGGACACGGCTGTTTCGGTCGCCACCTGCATCTCGTCGCCCGGAGGGAGCCGACGCTGAAGTGCACCACCACTGCAGTGGCTGCAACGAGGGCACAGCGGAGCACACGCTCGCGTACTGCCCCGCTTTCGGGGAGCAGCGCTGTGTCCTCGTTGCATAAATAGGACCGGACTTGTCGCTTCCGACCGTCGTGGCTACGATGCTCGGCAGCGACAAGTCCTGGCAAGCGATGCTCGACTCCTGCGAGTCCACCATCTCGCAGAAGGAGGCGGCGGAACGAGAGAGGGAGAGCTCTTCTTCCCTCTCGGCGCCGTGCCGCCGCCGTGAGTCGGGGGTCGGAGGAGGGCGTTTGTCCAGCTCCGGCCCCTATGAGGAGACCGTCTCCTCCCGGTGATAGTCACGGAGCAACCTAAAGAGGTTGAGGCTGCGCCGCACGCTACCGTCACTCTAGCGCGCTGGCACCAGGAGGACGAGACGACGCGTCGGCCGCTGCGGACTGCGATGCGGTCCGCATTTTCGTCGTCGCTGTCATCGCCGAACATACTGTGGAAGAGCAACCCGATCGGTGGTGTATCGCGTTCCGACCCGGCAGGCTGGTTCTGGCCCAGCGGGGTATCCCGGAACACCAGCGGCATAGCCCGGGCGGCCTGGTAGGGCCGCCGTACCGCGGAGACCGACGTTGTTGGTCGTCGACTATCGCCTCGACGACCCGTCGGTCGGGCGTCTTCGGGGTGACACCGCGTGTCTGGTTGTAGTGTTGACCGCGGGAACCCCCCTACTCTGACCGGGTTTTGACCCCAGACGGAGATCGGACGTCAGGTGTAAGAGTGCAGGGGAGTCGTTTAGTGGGTGGGCCCTAAAATTCCTTGGGCCCGCGGTCTGCTCCCAACACCTTGCAGATCGTCAAGTCCCACATATTCCGCGCGCCCCCTAGGCGCGGGGACCTCGTAGGAGGTTCGGCACACGGCTCAGAAAAAAAAAATATAATTATTTGGGCCTTACATTGAGTTTTCTATTTGAATAGATGTTAGCCTATAAGAAATATTTCTCTCATTAGGTCCAGTATCCAAGTTTAATATAATCATTACGTTACATTACAGTTACAGATCCAGACAATGCGAAAAACAGTGACCTTTAATTAAACCCGAATATAATTACAGGGCAAGGCCCAAAACGTTCAGAAATAAGAACTGCGGTAGATTTTATCTTCATCGTAAATATTTGAATGTATAGTACTATTTTGTATTAAACATAAAGACGACTAAGTAGGTATAATATTTTACGGTAAAATTTTACGTAGGCACCTAAATAAATTATTAAATTTAGTTAAGAGTATAATAAAAAAAAAATGTTTTTTAATCAACTTATCAGTAGATACATACCTACATTTTATGGTGGGGATGCATTAATTAAATGTAGAAAATGTGAATAATGTTTTTTTATGTTATTATAAAATAACAACCTTATTAAATATATACAGTCTAATGAATATATCGTACGATATAGATCTAAGTTCTAGGTTTTAATTAGAAGGCTATCTTATCAGTAGATAGCTCTGTTTTATATTTATTATATTCTATATACAGTATTATTTTTAGGTGGGGATGCACTACTTATGTGCAGATCGTGAATACTGTTTATCTTGTTATAGCAGAATGATAACAATTTTGGACAAACAAAGCATTATGTCGTGCTGTAATTTTCAGGGCATACTCATATAAAAAAGTAGTCGGGTCGTTACCAAGACTGATTTGTTGAATAAATACGAACCTGTTTAGTTCCGTATTTGAAATCTTTTTCTTCAAACGTTGGATCCCACACGTTTCTTAATACACTGAAATCTATTTTGATCATCAACCATTTAATAGGGTTCTGAAGCAATATCAATTTCGGTACGCGTTTTATGTTTTTAGGTTTCTTCTCTTTGTTTCCGAAAAAGAAATTCTTTGGGAAACCTTTAAAAATTTTCGCTACCTTCGTTGAATCAAATAGTTTACGTTCATTGTTTCTTTCATGTTTCATTTGTCGGTATTCGAATCTCTTTACATTTTGTGGATAACACAAACTGTTTTGTAAATTCGTAACGTATGAAGTAATTGAATAGACTGGACGATTAATACCCAGATGCAAATTTTTTATTGTATTCCAACGACTTGCTAGCGGATACAATCGCCTTACATGTTTAATTGGAACAGCCATCTGACAATGAAAACAAATTTTTAATGTACTACTTTCTATCTCTTTCTATTATCTATTATGTTATCTCTTTCTATCATGATATTAGAATTTTCATTTTCCGGATAGGAGAGCGATCGCCATAATAATATGGCGTAGTGTATTTATTACATTCTGACTTCAATCACAAGTGATTAATACTTAATTTATGCTAAAAACTTGCAATATGTACATATACATATATAACTGAGCTGCCAGCTATGTTCGGTATGACATACAAAAGAATTGCATTTTCCCTCTAATTAAGGGTACCGGTATTATTAAGATCAGATCTTTTGAATATTTCCGACTATTTTATCCTAATAGTATTATTTTCCTCTTCGTTCATCCGTAGGTAGACAACCCAGTACTTAAGTCCCTCTACTCCTCCCTCATCGTGAGCACCAGCGGTAAGTTTTTTAGTGAAAACGGTTTGACATGACGTCGTCGTGGCCAAAGGATAAAACGTCCGTTGCATTCGTATCGGGCGATGCACCGATGTTCGAATTCCGCAGACGGCTACCAATTTTTCTAATGAAATACGTACTCCACAAATGTTCACGATGGACTTTGACGGTGAAGGAATAACATCGCGTAATAAAAATCGAACCCGCAAAATTATAATTCGCGTAATTACTGGTGGTAGGACCTCTTGTCAGTCCGCGCGGGTAGGTACCACCACCCCGCCTATTTCTGCCGTGAAGCAGTAATGCGTTTCGGCTTGAAGGGTGGCGCAGCCGTTGTAACTATACTGAGACCTTAGAACTTATAGGTGGGTGGCACATTTACGTTGTAGATGTCTATGGGCTCCAGTAAACACTTAACACTAAGTGGGCTGTGAGCTCGTCCACCCATCTAAGCAATAAACAAAATAAAAAAGTCACTGTATTAATTTCTGCCGCGAAACAAAAATCGGCTCCGGTCTGAAGAGTGGGATAACCGTTATGCCAGAACGTGTTAAGAAGAGCGGCATACGACGTTTAATATTAAGTAGACCGTGAGTTCGGTGGTTTATCTAAGATTAAATTGGTTTTGATAAAATCGCTTCGATGCAATGATTATTGATTTAATGATTTTATATAATACAGGACATTACTAAAAGCATTATCCCTTTAAGACAGAATTATCACAATACATATTATTATACATTAATGACTATTTTTTTCGTACCTTGCGCCCATGGCAATAATGCTGCTTTTTTATAGCTGTATCTTCAACATTTTATTTCACACAATAAACAATTTTCCATTTTGTTAAATGATTATCCAAAATTGAATGTAAAAAACTGAAATTTTAAAGGTTAAATATTCACATCTTGTGTACATTTGTGAAAAATATTAATAAGTATGTCAAGTTGACGTTGATTCGTAAAAAGAAAAAGATTGTAATGTCGTAAGGTTTACTTTTTAACGCAACGAATCCGTAATTTGTGATACATGTCTTCTTAAGTTCCATGTAGGTTACACGGTTACACGGCTGAATAGTATGAAGAAGATGAGTTAGTCTACACAGCGCTTAAATTTATATTATATTAGATTTATAAGTTAATTACTTCGTAATAATCCTTGCTTAGTGTATCTCTAGTTTTCACAGCAGTTCGTAATCATAGTCGAATATTTTCCGATGAACTATGATGACCTTAAGGATTTTTTATCGGTGGCATGAATAGCGTCACAAGATGTAATCTTGAGTGTAGCTCGAATTTGGTTTGACCGATCTATGAGTCAATATTAATACCCAGTTCCGCTTGACTCAGCATCAGCACTCAATTGACTCATAAAGATTTGCTGAAAACAAATTCATCGATTTTCCCACAGACAGTTAGTTTATTTATTGCGAAATGAACAAGTATTCGGCAACAGAAAGTTCATCAGAAATGAGCAAATAAATAATTATTTTGTGATTATATCTTGCTAATTGGATTTAGCTGTAGTGTGTGTGATAAATCAACGAGGTTGACCCCTAACTCAGTAAACGGAATACTTTGTGATTAAATCTAAAACCAAGAACAGGTAGGTACATATTTAATTTTCATTATTACATTCGACTTTTCTAAGAAATCTCCCACTGTGTTTTTAGTTAATCAGACTTAATACCGATTAAAATTATAGTTTGAATTGGCTTTACATAATTATCATATTGATTGTAATCTTGATTTTAATCTGCGTATAAAATAAATAAAAAATACACAGCTCTTTACAAGTTCGTTTTACATTCGTTTTGCATAACAACCACATAGTAAATTAGGTATGTAAGTTATTTATATTTTGTATGTGTCTATGAAATTGTGCCCTAATATTATTATAATGTTAATAATACTCTTAGTTCTTCAATGATGTAGTTGATATAATTATAATCGAGAAAACATTTTTTTTTCGCATAGAAGGACGATCTCACAACCTACCTGGTGTTACGTGGTTACCGGAGTCCATAGACATCTACATTGTAAATGCCGCTACCTACCTTGAGATATGAGTTGGTCTCACTATAGTTACCCTTCTAACCGAAACGCATTACTGCTTTACGGCAGAAATAGGCAGTGTGGTGGTACCTACCCGTGCGGGCTCACAATACGTCCCACCACCAGTAATTTCCCACTATCAGCACACAGCAGTCGTCATATTATCTGGAACCGCTGCGTTCATCCACAGTGCGCTTCCAGAGGTCTTTTTTGCCACGTACCATCCGGCTATGGAATGAGCTCCCCTCCACAGTGTTTCCCGAGCGCTATGACATGTCCTTCTTCAAACGAGGTTTGTGGAGAGTATTAAGCAGTAGGCAGCGACTTGGCTCTGCCCCTGGCATTGCTGAAGTCTGTGGGCGACGGTAACCTCTCACTATCAGGTGGGCCGTATGCTCGTCTGCCTACAAGGGCAATCAAAATAAAGTTATTATTTAGGTAACTATTTATACTTTAGGAGTATGTGGCTGTTAACTCTGGGCGTAGTTGCCCTAATATCGGCGAGTAAAGCTTGCACACCCAGCGTAACTACGGTGAGCGGTACTCACGCCCCTGTGACCGTGTGTTCCGGACAACTCATTTTTGCTGATGACTTCGTCGACTTCGACCTTGAGAAATGGCAGCACGAAAACACCTTAGCCGGAGGTGGTGTAAGTACCTAAATGCCCGAATTATAAAACGCGACGAAAAAATTAATTTGTATTAAAGACTCATCTTTCGAGTAGGGATTACCTACTCGTACAAAGAAGCTGTTACATTACAAATTATTGTTAATTGTTTAGAAATATCTAAGTTTGATGCTCAACGTGTAGGAACCTATTTCAGCTTTTAAAATAGACACTTATTTCGGCGATTACATGCAGCAGAGATGCGAAGGTTGCGATGGATGTGTGGAGTAACGAGAATGGATAGAATACGAAATGAATATGTTAGAGGAAGTTTGAAAGTGGCCCCTGTGACAGAGAAGCTGAGAAGTGCGCGTTTGGGATGGTATGGACATGTGATGAGACAAAATGAAAATAAGGTTGGTAAGAGAATTTTAACTATGAATGTGGAAGGATATAGAGGAAGAGGTAGACCTAAGAAGAAATGGATGGATTGCATGAAGGACGGGTAAGAGGGGAGTGAGCAAATAAATGGTATATGATAGAAGAGTATGGAAGGAGAAAACATGTTGCGCCGACCCCAGATGACAGGGAGAAGGGCAGGATAATGATGATGTATTTTTGTCGACTCCTTTTCAGAACTGGGAGTTCCAGTACTACAACAACAATAGAACTAACTCATTCACGAACAACGGTCTACTGTACATTCGGCCGTCCCTTACGTCCGACCAGTTCGGATCCGCATTTTTACATAGCGGTCGCTTGAACATTGAAGGAGGCGCACCCGCCGACAGGTAGGTATCTACAGTATTCGGTCCAAGAACCAAGACTTAAAAAATCTAGCCTTTATTTCTACACAAAAAAAAACGAAATTTATCAAATTATATTCTCAATTAGCAACCCGCCCTCGCTTCGCTTCGGAAACTGTAATTTATTATTGATTTCTCCACTATTTAATAGATGCTATTGTACATATAAACCTTCCTCTTAAATCACTCTATCTATTAAAAAAAACCGCATCAAAATCCGTTGCGTAGTTTTAAAGATTTAAGCATACATAGGGACAGACAGATATAGGGACAGAGAAAGCGACTTTTTTTATACTATGTAGTGAAGCTGATAAACATATTGCCATTTTCTTGTACAGACAACAGCGATTATTGAATGTATATAACGCAATATAGTTATTATTTACAATAAATTTGAAGGTATGTCTACAAGAATGTAGGTTGTTATTGACATTTAAAAATAGTTATCGAATGCAAGTGTTAAGAAGAACAATGGCAAATATCTTCTGTTTACTCCAATACAATGATAGATCGATGGGATGGGATTTTTGCGGTTGACTTGCTTTAGTACAGGTATTCTCTTATACAATTGCACATTTACAATTTCAGATGCACTAACCCTCAATGGTACGGTTGCGAGCGTGTTGGTACCCCCACTAATATTTTGAACCCCATTAAAAGTGCACGTATTCGCACCGTTCATTCCTTCAGCTTCCAGTATGGTAAAGTAGAAGTTAGAGCGAAAATGCCTTCCGGAGATTGGCTCTGGCCCGGTGAGTTCCATCCTTAGACTTAGGGTAATAAAATTTCACTTAAATTTCTATAAGGCTTGTCATTTTCAACGTTATTCAAATCGACCAATATCCGATCGCGACGGGGCAACGCAAAGCCGCCATCGCCCGAAACATGTCTTGTCAGATCTCACTCACGGTGCTTTTAGGACCCTTAAACGTCGTGGTAATATATCGATGGTCACCGGTGATAACACAAATGCTCGTCAATACTAAGCTAGCTACTAAACAAAAAAGTATTGTTTGTATAGTAACAAAACCCGATTTATAGCCGAACTAAAATGTAATATTTTACTATCGCGATTTTCTTGTTCGGGTATTAGGATAAAGTAATAAAATATCATCAGTCTTGAATTGGAGAAAATTCGTTAAAAGAACTCCGGTCCAATAAATACACACAGTTCAAGCTAATGTGTTAAAAAAAACAGCTGACAAACAAGATACCAAATTAACATTTTGGTTTTTTCAAACCAAAGCTGAATAAAAAGTTTACAATAAAATTATAATAAGGGTTACATACTTTACGACTACAAAAGAATAAAATCGATTTACCGACCATTCTAACTATGTCTATTTGTATGTAAATGCAAGTGCTTAATATTTCTTTTTCTCTTGAAGCAATTTGGTTGATGCCTGCATACAACAAATACGGCACCTGGCCAGCTTCTGGGGAAATCGACCTTGTCGAATCCAGAGGCAACAAAAACATGTTCCTCAACGGTCTACACATTGGTACACAGGTGATTACTGTTATTTTATATATTTATAAGTACTCGGTGTTCATTCTAATTCATATACTAATAGGTAAGATACTCAGTACATTTGTTTCGAAGATTGAGGTACAAAACGTTGTCTACCGGTTTTTTTAAGTTTTTGCCGCCGTATCGAGTGATCCCATAGAGTAAAGTACCTACAAGTTCTCATGATTCTAGCAACTCAGCCTGGTTCCGAGTACTAACATATGCGATTTTTTTTAATTAAATAATTATGAACAAGTATTTAGGTACGTCTTCCACGTTAATAAAAATCCACCCTGCAAAATGGATAGTTACGTAATCCACAATCCTGTATATTTCTGTCGCTACACAATATGCATGAGACATCGCCCTCATGTTGCCAATTTGCTCTTATACAACAAATAAAGTGTTCGGTGTGTTCTAAAGAATATTCATAATGGTCCATGTTAGATAAAATTTACGAAGATATTATGTGTTACACAGGAAGCTGGTTCGACACTGCACTACGGACCTTTCCCCGGACTAAGCGGATGGGAAAGAGCGCATTGGGTCAGAAGGAACAGCGCCGGATACGACACTAATTTCCATCGTTACCAACTGGAATGGACACCAGGTTAATTATTATTATGTAGCCGTACCGACTACACTTACTTAAACTTCAATATATTTCACGTAAGCACGTAGGTGCATGTTTTAAGAACAATAATAATTGATGAAATAGTATATAAATAAAACTTTGCCTCAATAACAAATTGCACGTTGATTATACAGGATACTTCAAATACACGTTCCAAAAATAGATTAAATAAAAATAAATAAAAAACGAAATGCAATGTAATTTAGATATAATCTCAGTACATACTTTTTTAGCAACATAGCTTTTTGTTTAAATAGCTATATGAACCGTATCTAAAAATAGACCAGTTTTATTACTACAAAAATACTCTCGTATTACCTATATCAATTACAATTTGCGTAGGTAGGTTTACTTACCATTATTTTTTAAATAGAGTGGGTAGACTATTTTTCGGGTGCGTCGTTTTTATTTTATCATGAATCCTTTTCCATTGTATTCAATTTATAATACATATACACATATATTAGAATACATATATCGCAATAGCATAAAATATTGAAATTCATCGTCCAAATCAGAGCGTGCATTGCAAATATTACTATAAAACGAGTTTGTTTTTATTGTATTAAATCTGTCTATTGCACAGTCCACCAGGTTTCGAGCAGTGACCGGGCCTCATAGATATAATAACCCTAAAAACTTTAAAATATGATATAGTTTCGTCCAATTTAGCTAGAGGATTTCGTGGTCGACATAGAAGCAAAAAATTATTGAAATCGATAATCTTGGAAATTTATTAAAGATCTCTTATTATTATTATTGAATTCATGGCTCAATACCAATTATCGCCAAAAATTTAATTACGAAAGTAATTATATATTAACCAAATTCGCAGATTTCATAAGCTTTAGAATTGACGACTTTGAGATCGGTCGCGTCGCTCCTGGAAATGGTGGCTTTTGGGAATACGGCGGCTTCAACAATAGACCCGGTATTCATAACCCGTGGAGATATGGAAGTAAGATGGCGCCATTCGACCAAAAAGTACGTATAATAGACACACCCACAAAAATGTTACTATACTGAATTTGCTTTTGACAAACGACGTACACAAGATATGCTGTATAGACTGCATTTGCAGTCAGATTGCATAGGTTTGAACTCACTCACAGATGTCGTCGAAGATTAAATTTAGTGTCTTGTTTATCAGATTATTCTACATTCTCTTTAAAATAAATATAAGTTAAGTGGGACAATATATTTTAATGCTATTAGCTGTTTTCTTCTTTGGGTAATATCTATTTCTATATAGACTACCGTCTTTACAACCCATCCTCCCAAATACACGGGCACTCGCTAGTCGATTGGATATGGATAGGATTGTATTTATATACGCTTCCGTTGAAAAAAGTGTTAATCTAACATTAATAAATAATCGAGTACAAACCACATACCGCCCAAATCGGGCCCTAAGAGTCTTTACTCTTAAGGCCCGTACCCTAGGAGTCCCAGTGCCGTAGGAACTAGAGACTGATATACTTATATATGTATAATTATCTGATTAGTAAATGTCTATACCTATTTTTAATATTTTTTTCTTTAAAATACTCTAATGTAAACACAGGAAGACTATTTACTGATTGTTAAACTTTCAGTTCTATCTCATAATCAACTTAGCTGTCGGAGGCACCAACGGTTTCTTCCCTGATGGTGTCAAGAACCCTATTCCTAAGCCTTGGTGGAACAATTCCCCAACGGTACGTACCAGCAAAATATTTTAAAACCAACTGCAAAGCTTTTTTAACAAACGTAATTTACTTATTACTATTTTCATCACGTTACAGGCAGCCACAGATTTCTGGAATGGCCAGGGCGGTTGGCTTCCGACGTGGAATTTGAACGTTAATGATGGTCAAGACGCTTCCCTCCAAGTAGACTACGTTCGAGTTTGGGCGTTATAAATAATTCAATAAATTTTCAAAATTTTGCATTAAACTGATTTTATTAATTAACAAAACAATAAAACAAATTTTTTTTCTGGGTCTAATATTTCATCCTTGCTCCAATTTACGAAAGGAAAAATATGTTTTTAGTTTTCGAACCTAAGGAATGATTTGAATATAGGCAATACAAATATTTTTAATCCATATGATAAAACCTTGGACTCATATATTGAGATGGTCTGTTGTTAGAAAGAGGAGTTGACGTAGCCATGATGTACGGGGGAATACGTCTTTTATCTGAAAATGGACTAACTCGCGAATAGTATCGACGTTCAATTACCTGCAAATATATTTGAAATGATGATATGAATATAAAATTCCAATTTATTGATTACTAATTTTTATAAGTGAAGTACCTTATCAAAAAATCTTGTTAATTTCACTGAATTCGTAGAGCCTGGAGCTAGGGATCTGAAATATTATAATTCAATTTCGCGTTACTGAAAATCATGTGTATAAACAGCAGAATGCTTCCAGTGGTTACCTTGCCTGATGACAGGTTACAAATATTTCGTCAGCGCCGCATTGTTCAGCTATACTACTAGCGAGTCTTCTATATTGATTTTTCCTTTGTTTTTCCTCCGCAGCGTCGTATTTAGTCCCGATCACTAAAATCGGAATCTACAATCGAACTCTCCAGATTACGTATTTATTGTCGAATCAAATAATAATTTACATATTATTTACGAAGCAAGGTGACGTTGTTCAATTATTATTGCGGAACTGCTGGATCTACATATAATGATGCCTTCAAGATAATCTAGTCACCACCCTTGTCGAGTACGTCCATTACGAAGAAGAGTTCGACGAGCGAACTAACCCAGACACAGCCCACTGAGTTTCTCGCCGGGTCTTCGCAGTGGGTCGCAATTCCGATCCGGTAGTAGATTCTGCGAAGCACTGCTCCTGCTAGGGCTAGTGTTAGCTAATTCTCTCAGGTTGTACCCGTGAGCTCACCTACCCGTCCGCACATGATAGGAATAGCCCTGACTTCAACGCCTACGTGAGGAAACGGACCGCGTCAATGCGGCACATAATGCGTTTAAGCCCCAACAATATTTTGAGGGCATTATGGCATGGTGTTTCCTGAGCGCTATGACTTGTCCTTCTTCGAACGCGGCTTGTGGAGAGTACTTAACGGTAGGCAGCGGCTTGTCTCTGCCCCTGGCATTGCTGAAGTCCATGGACTACAGTAACCATTCACAATCAGGTGGGCCGTATAGTCAACAGCCCAAAAGGGCAAAGGCAACAAAAACACTTTGCAAAACATGGACAGTTTATTTATATTCTATCTATTCTATTCTATTTATAGTCTATTATAAGTATTGGGTGGCAAACCATTTGGATAACGAACGCGCTAAACAGCCGGGTTCGCAGTATTTTCCAATCCCAACCGTAGGCTAGATTAAATGACATTTTAAATATATGTCTGCTACTAAAAACTATATGGAATTTCTATATTCTGAAATAATATATTATTTTCATAAAATAATACTTAGATATTGGAACCGAAAAACCGACCTGCGTGGAACCTAAGAACTGTTCCGGATCGACGTCTACATGCTGTAAAGTTGGATTCGAACTGTCCTGATTCAATATTTCAGCGAGCCACTTCTGAAGATTCACTTGACTTTTTCTGTTCGTCAAATCGTGCACCAATATGATTCCTTAAATATTTTTAATTAACGCTTTAACTCTTCTACTATTTATCTAAGAATGTTATTCTGGAGTGATATTTCTTCTGTTATCGGGAAGACTGCATATTATGTACCCATGATAAATACGCACTTAACAAGTATTCATAAACAACTTTGATATGGGAACTGCATCGTGTATTATGCATTTTATAAATTTGAATTATTACTGTGGATAGGTCGCGTATGAACCCACACGGTTAGAAGCGCTTTTTTATCACCAAGCAATCGTGTGTTTCGGTCTGAACGTTGACAAACGACTAGGTACATGTCGACGTGATTTGTAGTCGTTATTGGTGGTACCAGATGGACAGTGAACTCGTTCATCTATAAAAAATCAAATTAAAACATATTTTTCTAATATAACAAACCATGCGTTGGTTGGTAAAACACATCTCTTGTGTTTCTATGTCCATTTGAGCCTCCGACATCCCAAAGTTCTACGAAGAACGTGTTTTGGGCTTGTGTTCCTTCTTTGTATTTGTGTAATTTAACTTCCACAGAGCAACCGACCGTCCATCCCGGCGATAAAATGGGCTTATTATGTGCTATCAAATGTGTTAAAGATGTTTTGCCCACACCTACAATTTAAATGCTTTATTATTTCGAAACCATAAAAAATATATCGATCTAATTAGATTACAATAATGGATCTGATGGCAAAACTCATTACGGAAATTCTGACAAAAATAAAATCGAAGTTCGTTATAAAATATAGTAATTATGTAATCTAAAGATACTAAATTAAATTTGTGTAGCTCGCGAGCGATTCGTTCCGATGAATTAAATTTTAATGAACTCATTCACATATTTTCATTATTTTCAGAATAGGTACTTTCTCTTACATTTTGGGAGTCGGTATACCTACTAGGTAACTAGACATTTCAATTAATTTTAGTTTGTGTTATTTAGTTATCACATTATTATTATCAGTCTTAAGTCTGCCTGAAGTATGAAGAAATCGCAATTTTAATGAAATCGCTTCTGCTGTAATTGAAAAGGTTTCGATTCCGGAGTTGTAACCATGTACAGTACGACTATACAGAATAGATTCCCCGTAAAGGAACTACGGAACGATTTTAAGTAACCAGTGTGCTTAGTGCGAGTTTTTTAACGTTCTCGATAGCGTAAAAGTTAGCTCATATTTGTATGGGATGGGATCTTTTGCCTACGTTAGGGGCGCTATTCTAATTGCATACAAAATCGGGTTAATTTTTACGCTATCGTGAACGTTAAACTCGCACTAAGCACAAAGTTCACTCTACGGAACGAGATTTAGTGAACGAGTTCACTAACGTGAACGATTTAAGTCCCGAAGTCTATTCTAGATATAGTACAATCATATCAAATGGGGTGGGAAGTGGAAACAGAGCGCCAACTAGCTCTAGCACACCCTCTTTATAAGGTCTAACGTCAATATTACGTAGATGTCTATTCAAATGTAATAAAAGTTTTTTTGCCTACTATTATTTAAGAAAGTATATTAATGAATTAATTTATAATAATGTTATAATACGTTTTCGACTATGGATAATCACGAGGTAAACTAAATTTTAATTTTTAAAACTTCAGATAAACTAAAAAACAATAAGTCAACTTTCTCATTATTGTAAACGCATATCGATATTATCGAATGTGACCACTACGTTCGCACCTATTTTTGTAATGTTGGCTATCATTAAGGTGTCATGGCGGAGCGTTATAATAAACGTATTGTTATTTTGTGAAATTCTATGTGCCTACTTGTATGTGCTATAATAAATGGACGACAACGAAATTAGAAGAAATAAGCATACCTGAATCACCGAGGACCACAACCTTCACTTTCTCAATCGCAGCCATTCATTGAAGAAATTGTCGGTAAGTGTTTGCAAATAAAAATGTTTGACAAATTCACAATGTCAGTATTGTCTATGTCTAATCTACCATCTTCATACCTTCAGTACTACCAACTAACGATACGCGATTATGAACTTCCAATCGAATTATTCGACTTAATACATTCGATTAGGAATATTTCAATAGCGGCGACCTTACAAAAAAAGGTAAAAGGTAACGTTACGTTTTATACGTTTTATTCTGCTCCGAACTTGCGTTTAAATTAAGCGTATATACTGAAAATAGATAATGCACCGCGCGCTACAACATCCACAACTTACCGCAAAAAGAAACGCGAATATTTAAGGCATACAAGAAAGTGTTTAAAATCAAACTTTCGAAAGTAAAAAAGTCCAAAATTAAATGTAAAATCAATTAGTAACAATGTCTGACACTAATGAAAGCCGACAAAAAGTTGAAAATCATTAGTTTTAAATTAAAATAAGTCATTACTACTACTAGTCTATTTGTCATTCGATTATCAGTACAAACTTATTATTAATACTAATATTTATGTCGACTGCATCTATTACTGTCTCCGAAGTTGTTTATTTAATAGAGACAATAGAATAGAGATAAATTGATAGAGTCAAGTTACTACCAACATGAAGTTATGTACCGCTAAGTAAGCCTGTTTTTATTAAATCTCATTGGGTTTATGAAAAACGGTTTATAAAACATACATATCCAATTAATTATCAATTAATTTTTTTTAGACAACGTTACTTTACTGAAATCAGCGTGTTCATTTTAGTTTTTTTTCATTTACTCGTCGAATAAAATAAGTAGAAGTAAAGGTTCATTTTCGGTATAATTTTAAATCATACTGTATTTTAATTTACGCGACATGAGACGGCTTCACGACGGACATAGGCAGAGTAGGTCCTACCCGTGTGAGTTCACAAGGCGCCCTTCTATCAGTAAATAAGTAACTTCTATTTTTTGCGTATTTGATTTTTATTAGATGATCTTATTCTGTCACTGTGAAAGTAATTCGTGAATATTTATAAAGTAGGTACGTATTTCATTAGAAAAATAGGTAGGTACCTACCTGCTTGCGAGATTCGAGCACCACCACATCCCATCGCATCGCTGATACGAATGCACCGGGCGTCTTAGTCCTTTACGCCACGAAGACTTCAAATTTTTAAACAATAATGATTTTATGTCTTGTGATCAACAATTTATTTCAATAGAAAAACATAAATATATAACTAAATTAAACAGATTAACCTATAAATATATACCACTATCACTGAATAGGTATCTATTCAAAGTTCAAGCAGTATACGTCAAAATTTAGCTTGAAGTCGAGCGAACGCGAACATTGGTTGGACTCGGAAGTCAAAGCTTACGAAAATTTACAATCATAAAATCGATACGATACAGACATAACTTTATACACTGTCCGCCATTGTATAACTTTTGTCTTTTGACAATGTTGTGGTTAAGATCACTGTAAGATGTTACGGAGAAGTCTAAAACCATCTAACAATAATCATAATGGACCTGTTCATCGAGCTGTTAATTTTGCTTCTTCTCTCAAAATCAGTCCGGTTATATTGTGGCCCATACAATGGGCAAGTATGTAAAAGTTATTCTACCGGCTACGTATGGTACAACCACACTGGCGGACTCGACAACGAGAAGATAACAAGTGGCCTTTGGAAAGAAATGATCTCAAATCTTCAAGAACCATGCAGGACCCAAGCTGAAAGATTGCTTTGTGCTTACGCATTTCCGAAGTGCATCAATAAGGACGGTGTCGGATACTTTGCCTTACCACTTTGTTATGAAGACTGTATGGCAGTTAAAATGCAATTTTGTTATAATGACTGGATAGTGATTGAAGATCAAAAAGAACGAGGAGTGTTTTTCGAATCTAGGGGTCATTTTCGATTACCAGAATGTGAAAATTTACCACATTACAGTGGTAAAGGCTCTCAAGTTTCCTGTAATAATATTGGGATTACTGACATGGACCTTGATCAGGTGACTACAACCTGTGTAAAAGGTAATGGCCGTTACTACCAAGGTGTAATTAATGAAACAAAAGCTGGTTTAGCTTGTCAGGCTTGGGAGTCGCAATTTCCCCATCAACACACCAGACCTCCATTAGTGTTTCCAGAAGTGCAGAATTCTTCAAATTATTGTAGAAATGCTGGTGGTGAAGAAAGTAGGCCTTGGTGTTACACTATGCATCCAAACGTGAGATGGCAGTATTGTGAGATACCAATGTGTGCTAATTCAAGTCAAGAGAAAGACAATATTAAGGGATCAAATTTAATAATGGAGAATTACTTCACACCCACATTTGTTTTATTATTATCAATAGGCGGCCTTGGATGTGTTTTAGCTATTGCAGGAATAGCTTTACTATGTCATTATATTGTTAAAAATCATTACTCTAAGTGCAATGTTTCAAGTCGCAGGAATTTACAAAACATGGATATAGATTTAGATAAACTGCCAAGTAATCTTGCCTACCATACAACTGGAGCACAACTCAATCCTAAGTTAGAAAAGTTAGAGTTTCCAAGAAATAACATAATTTATATTCGTGATTTGGGTCAAGGGGCCTTTGGTAGAGTATTTCAGGCAAAAGCTCCAGGTCTTATACCAGATGAAGAGTTTACTTTGGTCGCAGTTAAAATGCTTAAAGATGAAGCTTCTCATGATTTACAATTGGATTTTGAAAGAGAAGCTTGCCTACTTGCAGACTTTGACCATCCAAATATTGTTAAATTACTTGGAGTTTGTGCTATAGGACGCCCAATGTGTTTGCTTTTTGAGTACATGGGAAAAGGTGATCTAAATGAATACTTAAGAGCATGCAGTACTGTTACTAGTTTTGCACCAGTAGAACACCGTGAAGATCTACGATTGCTTGCTGCACCATTAAGTCACTTAGATCTTCTTCACATTGCCAGACAGATTGCATCAGGAATGCTGTACTTATCGGACAGGAAGTTTGTACATCGTGACCTTGCAACTAGAAATTGTTTAATAAATGATGACATGGTTGTAAAGATTGCAGACTTTGNCAGTACTGTAACTAGTTTTGCACCAGTAGAACACCGTGAAGATCTACGATTGCTTGCTGCACCATTAAGTCACTTAGATCTTCTTCACATTGCCAGACAGATTGCATCAGGAATGCTGTACTTATCGGACAGGAAGTTTGTACATCGTGACCTTGCAACTAGAAATTGTTTAATAAATGATGACATGGTTGTAAAGATTGCAGACTTTGGACTCTCACACAAAATTTATTTACAAGACTATTATAAGGGTGATGAACATGATGCAATCCCAGTAAGGTGGATGCCGCTTGAAAGTATACTCTACAATAAGTACACCTTAGAATCTGATGTTTGGGCATACGGAGTATGCTTGTGGGAGATATTTTCTTTTGCTTTACAACCATACTTTGGTATGACCCATGAGGAAGTTGTTAGATTTTTGAAGGATGAAAATGTTTTAGCTTGCCCAGATAATACCCCTAGATGTGTCTATGATTTAATGAAGCAATGCTGGAATCATAATCCAAGTGATCGTCCAAATTTTAGAGTAATTTATCAAACACTAGATAACATTCAGCTAATTTTAGAAAGAGGTCGAACACATTAATGTGTGTGTTCAAAGTATTATTCAAAAGAAACAAGGGTGACAGTTCAGCTAAGTGATATGATATAAGTCAAAATCATGAATTATTAATGAAAAATAAATGAGCCAATTATTTATATAGGTAAGAAAAAAATGGTTCATTATCAGAATTATTTATGGCAAAATGTTTTAGATATGAGGCAATTATACACAACAAATGATTTTGTAAACACATTAAGTTGTTACTTCGATGCATGATATTGTATGTTTAATACACATTTTTATTTGTCCATAACTGAAGACTGACATAAAATGTATGTATAAGAAGACTAGGTATTTTAAGTTCCTTTTCGTTTGATTCTTGTTTGTTAAAACATTAGCTCACATTGGTTCAACGTTTACAAATTATTTATAAACCTAACACAATAAGTACTCTAAAAGCAAATTTCATTACACACCAGTAATGTTATTAATAAAATAGTATATTTTTGTAAAATGTCAACTCTTAAATACAGAAAAATAATTAATATTAGACCTAATAAATGTAAAACATGAAAATTGCTAATTCTAAAAGTAGCACTTATGCTTTTTTTGTAAACTGAGGATCTGTGAATGTCTAGTAAAATATGAAACAATGTATTCTTTAAAAATTACAATGATTTTTAATTGAGTTAATTAAAAAATAAATCCTCAAATCAATCAATAATGTAATTAATTCAAGATGTCAAATGGCTCCAAGGTGGTTGTATAGATATTATTGATATTTTACAATTTTTTTCAATATTTATTGTTTTTCTATCTTTGCCTATAAAATAATACAGCTATAAATAAAATGCTCTCTTGCCAAACATGTAGTTTTTCCCTATGGTCATGGTATCTTATGAAAAAGCACATAATAAATGTACAAATTTCAATTTGAATGTTGTTAACATAGACATTTATTTCGCATAATAATAATTATTAATTTCAAAATGTCTAAATAGACTGCCTCTTATTTGTTTGTTGTAGAAATAGAAATAGATACATCGAAGACTGATCTTAATAGGAATGTTATAATTTAATTCTAAACATTTTGATGTTCTCAACGAAGGCATTTTTTATTTCTACAGACGGATAGACGAGCTCATGGCCTGTCAGATGTTAAGTGGTTATTGCAGCTTCATTAAATGTGTAAAGAAAAACTTGAATGTTTTTGTCCTTCTTGAGACACGAGGTTACGAGGTTGAAGACTCAATTTTCTTGTATAATGTCTGTCCAACCCATGAAACCAGTATGCGTGACGGCTTCATGTCAGAAATAGTCACGATGGCTGTGCTCATCCGTTCGAGATCAATAGGCCACATCAATAGAACTAAAAGCATGCCAAGCTGTAATGAACAGTTGTATGTAAGTTTCTTTTATTAGATAAGTACATATTTAAATACAATAAATACGGTAATAAACGAACAAATCGCGTTTTGTAGCTATCCATTCTTGTGGTACCTATTTTAAAAATAATACTATTTTATTATAATACGCGTCCAGAGCGCAGCTTAAACAATATAATTGACATTATTAGAATGATATTATAATATAACGATAACAAAATAAATGGTACATGCGCTACCAAATAAAATAATTTTATTGTAAATACATAAATAGGAAAACAATATTTTTACAAAACAATAATCCTGAAAANCATTCTTGTGGTACCTATTTTAAAAATAATACTATTTTATTATAATACGCGTCCAGAGCGCAGCTTAAACAATATAATTGACATTATTAGAATGATATTATAATATAACGATAACAAAATAAATGGTACATGCGCTACCAAATAAAATAATTTTATTGTAAATACATAAATAGGAAAACAATATTTTTACAAAACAATAATCCTGAAAAGAATTTTCATGTATAAATGAAGTAAGACAACGAGATTAAGTAATAAATTTGTAGAAGTGTTTGTTAGCCTACCACAATGCATGTTTAATTTTTATTTATTAACAATAAAGTAACGTTCATTTTTATATTAATTCAATTTCTGTATGTTTTAAGAATAAATTATGAAACTACTACTGGGTTTTTTTTCCTACTGTAGGGGAATGATACCTCGCCCCACTTTAACTGCATAGTAAGCAGCTAAGCGGGGCGGGGTATCATTCCCATAAACTACACTACTAAAACCTCACACTACCTGTTCGCTGATAGCATAACGGTCTATTCCAGCTACGCTCGGACAGAATTTGTCCATTGTAGATTAAATTGAACACTATCTTGACATGATCCCCCATTGATGCGCCTTCGAAGTACCGGCACGGGTAGGTACTACCACCCTGTCTATTTCTGCCGTGAAGCAGTAAGTTTGAAGGGCGGGGCAGCCTTTGTAACTATACTAAGACTTTAGAACTCGTATCTCAAGGTGGGTGGCGGCATTTATATTACAGATGTCTATGGGCTCCGGTGACCACTCAACATCATGTGGGCTGTGAGCTCGTCCACCCATCTATGCATTAAATAAAAATAAATATAGTTCGCTGTATTGTCACTAGAATTTATGTGAAATTTTAATTTCGGTTCGCGGGAACTGGATAATTTTGGAATTCGTAATCAATTCATGATGATATCATGCCCATTGAACTGATGACTAAAACATTTCAGTGAAACATGACGGAAGAACGTTACGTGACTGAAGTTCCTAGTAGTTTAAAACAGCTAGCAAGATTAGTCGTCAGAGGCTTCTACACAATAGAGGATGCACTCATTGTTGATATGCTGGTCAGGAATCCATGTAAGAAATATTATCTAATCTGCCATATTAATATACCTATTACGCTACCTAAAACCAAAGTTATATCTAGTTAAATGGAATTAAAACTACTTTCAGAATTTAATCTCGCATTTTTTTTGTTGTCATATTATTGCCGACGTTTCAAATACACAACAGTTTTCGTGTGTGAGACGCCAGATTAAGCCTTAATAGTGGTTTCACTTATGTCGAAAACTCGCAAAAACCGAAGCCATTGTTATAGTTAAGTGATAGGATCAGTTGCGACTTTTGAGCCGGTACCGTTTGGGTCCTGCTTATTTCTGCCTTATCGTTTTATTTATGTTTCAATAACATAAAGTAACCTGAAACAACAGTGCTATTGAGTTTCAAATTCATGTCTCAAATTGAGTAGTAATATTTTCGATAAATCAACAACTTCTGGCCGAATATTGTGATAAGATATTGCCGGAGTATTGTTTGTATTGTTATCAACGTAGGCACTAAAAATTTATTTACCAAGTAACGTACCAGACATCGGATCCTTGGTCCTCTCACGTTACCGAAACCGTAGGACACAGCATGCCAGCTGATTTTGAATTACAAGTATGGTACAGTGTACAAAAACATAACAAATGTTCCAAATAAGCACAACTGCTTACGTACCGTCGACAAGGGTGGTCATTTAGTGTCAGTAATCACGAAACCTATCAACTATCTTCGTTTTCGGGAACAAATATCTAACATCGAGCAAGTCTAATACGGATATTCTATCTTATATAAAGATTAGAATATGTTATGTATTCTGAGGTCAATATTAATTATTGATTTTAAATTGTACAGGTTTGTTGAATTCCAGGTATGAAAGAAGACGATATTTGTGAGTTATTGAAATTTGAAAGAAAAATGCTAAGAGCAAGAATTTCGATTCTCAAAAATGACAAATTCATTCAGGTCAGACTGAAAATGGAGACAGGTAATATTGGTTTACTATTTCCACAATATGGCTTAGTTCTAGAACATTCATATTTATCTATTTAACCCGCTTTTATTAGTTTGGTATGTAACTATGTAACGGAATATTTTAACGTGATTTTCACCCCCTTTAAAACAGCAGATTGATTCGAGACCTTGCACACTATCAAGGACCAATGACAATACAATAATTTAATAAAATTCTCCTATTATCCTGGACAAGATCTTCAGGATTAACGCTGAAAAAAAAAATACTAAAAAAAGCGTGGAGTGCTTTTTAAGATATTTTATAATGACCACTTTTACCAATATCTGTTAATAAAATAATTGACGTCTAGCACCCCTCTAATTTTTATGATATTTTTTTTTCTTAATCACTTTGTTTTACTTTACTTATAATAAATACAAATAAATATTTTCTACTTTTTAGTACAGCTAACTGCGAAAACATGTTTTTTTTTACTATTTTTTAAAAGCTATCCTTGTGATTCGTATTCGCAATTTTCGATCTTTTCTCTGGTTCACATAATGCATCAAGACAAAGTTATTTAATTAAAAAAAAAAAACGTTTACTTGTTAAAAAGGCACTACTATTCCTTTTTAACATGTGTACGTTTTTATAAAAAACGCTTATTCAACCACAACAAAACCAGGGGGCTTGTAAATTATTCATGTTTTTTTTTTATAGGACTAGACGGAAAAGCACAAAAAGTTAATTATTATTTCATAAACTACAAGACTTTCGTAAACGTCGTAAAGTATAAATTAGATCTTATGAGGAAGCGGTTAGAAACAGAGGAACGTGACGCTACAAGCAGAGCCAGTTTCAAGTGTCCAGCTTGTGGGAAGACCTTTACAGATTTAGAAGTAAGAATCATTTGAACTTTTTAATAGAGCGGTTAACAAGTTTACGGTTCTTCTCAGGTTAACCCACCCACTTACAGATTTGATGTGAAATTTCAATCGTTGCTGCCATCAAAACGGAACACGTGGCTGTTTCGCACTTACTCTTTCCCTCTTCGTAATTGGTTCATACAAAAGACAGTTACCGTGGACGCCCTAGTCACGACCTTACTGATCCACCCGATCCACTAACACTTTTGTTAGACGCCTACAGCTTTAACACTTAGATCTGGCACTAGGTAGTCGTAGTTGTCGATCGTGAAACCAAGGCCATAGCATCAGTCCTCTGAGTTTCTCGCATGATCTCCGACGGGGGTTGCGATTTCGCTCCAGTGGTAGATGCATTTGCGATGCAGCTGCCTTTGAGCTTTAGGTCTCCATCGGAGACGCACGTGCAGCTCTTAGCAAATCCCACCCCTCATGTCTGGACCAGTTCTGATGAAGCTGGAATGGGCTTCAGGTCACCAGATATCTTTCCATTAAAAAAAAACCTATCCGTACTAATTTTCAAAACGCCCTTACCACCAATAAAATCACAATAGCGTTTTTTAATTACGAGAAAACTATATGATTACAACCATTATTTCTGCATCTCGTCACGCCTACCTCACATTTGCTTAACCGCTACAAATGACCAATCATTATATTCCCTTAATAATAATAAAAAAACACGTTTTTTGTATTATTTCATTAGGAATTTTAATTGCTAAAGTAAATTATTATCGCTCTTCTCGAATTTAGGCAGATCAGTTATACGATATGGCCACACAAGAATTCCAATGCACGTTCTGCAGTGCAGTTGTGGACGAGGATATGTCGGCGCTACCAAAAAAAGACTCCAGATTATTGTTGGCCAAGTTCAATGAGCAGCTGGAAACGCTTTACATATTATTGCGAGAGGTCGAAGGCATCAAACTGGCTCCAGAGATACTGGAACCAGAACCGGTCGATATTAACACAATACGAGGGTGAGTTTTGAAGTCATTTCGAATAATCATCAAATCAGTATAAAAAATAATATCCAAGAAAATATTTTATACTAAGAAATTTATTAACACGTTGAATGCCAAATGAAAAATCTAGTATTTCATTCACCGGTGAGCACTGTGGCCTGAATATACCTTTCGGGCCATAAGGGTCACCCGTGATCCGCGTGAGGGTTCCGACGTAAATGCTTCCTACAATCCACAAATTGCAGCTATCAAAAGCGCGTGTTGAAGTGATCCGCGTGGCCCTTTAGCCGAACCGAACGCCTTTTGTTTTCAAATCCAATAGAAAGCTGTAGTTTTTATCAAGATATTTTTAGGAAGTCGTACCTTTTTAAAATATCTTAAAAACTAGACGGTAAAAGTCGCCAATTTTGATCTTCAAGATCTCAAGTTGATTTCTTTACTGCTTTCATAATTTTGGCTTTGTCCGAATGGTATAGTACGGTAGGCCCACCGGTTGACCGTGTGGCGGTAGCCATCACACAACACAAGATATTTGACAGATGCCTTTATCTCGCTTACGACATTTTCAAGATAAGCTTGCATATATACAAGTTCCGAACTAGAACATTCGGACTTTCTGTCTACCGAGCAATATCACCCGCTTGGTGAAAAATATTTCCCTCCGTCGTTAAGCGTACAGTCGCATGACGTTCAACGTGTCATTACGTATTTAATGGTTAAGATTAACATTTCTCTTGTCTTTGGTCCAGATTGACGTCAAAGTGAATACGTATTAATGGTTAAGATTGACATTTATCTTGTCTTTGGTCCAGATTGACGTCCAAGCAGTCCGCATTGCGTCCGGGCGGCGAGCAATGGTCGGGTGAGGCGACGCGCAACCAAGGCATGCTGGTCGAGGAGACACGAGTCGACGTCACCATCGGAGACGACAAGCCCGCGCGGGACGCCGGCGCGCTACGCAAGGAGCGGCCCGTCTGGATGGTCGAGAGCACCATCGCCTCCAACGAACAGGTCCGATGCAGACTCGGTGACCGGTTCAAACATGACCGAGTCGATCGCGAAAGAATTTTGAAGTCGTCGTGGCCTAAAGGATAAGACGTCCGGTGCATTCGTGTTGAACGATGCACCGGTGTTCGAATCTCAGGCGGGTACCAATTTTTCTAATGAAATACGTACTCAACAAATGTTCACGGTTGACTTCCACGTTGAAGGAATAACATTGTGTAATAAAAATCAAAAGCCGCAAAATTATAATTTACGTAATTACTGGTGGTAGGACATCTTGTGAGTCCGCGCGGGTAGGTACCACCACCCTGCCTATTTCTGCCGTGAAGCAGTAATGCGTTTCGGTTTGAAGGATGGGACAGCCGTTGTAACTATACTGAGACCTTAGAACTTATATCTCAAGGTGGGTGGCGCATACGTTGTAGATGCTCCAGTAACCACTTTACACCAGGTGAGCTGTGAGCTCGTCCACCAATCTAAGCAATAAATGTTTTTTTAATTTTTTTTGTTGTTTTCGTGATATAAAAAAAATCATGAGAGCGTGGCCATTTTAAATGAATCCTTAGCCTATTATTGCTACAATCCCTAAAACCGGAACTTTTGACTACTTTACAAATAAGTTGTTTTCTCTCTATAGCTAATGTCCTTGACAACTTCGCTAGAACTAAGAACTACAGCTTACTAATAACTGCAGAACGCCTTCGAAGAAAAAAGCAGAGGACCTGCCAAGACAAAACAGAGAAATTCAGTCGACTATATATAGACTATAAGAAGACATGAATGGAGACCACTTTTAAGATTTCCGAGTTTCTACATTGAATTTAGGTGTTATATGTTTATAAAGCGGATTAAGCGGTAGGCAGCAGCTTGGCTCTGCCCCTGGCATTGCTGAAGTCCATGGGCGACGGTAACCACTCACCATCAGGTGGGCCGTATGCTCGTCTGCCTACAAGAGCAATAAAATAAAAAATAAATAAAGGATACTAGACCTCAAAATTACGGGCTTAAAGGCTATTTTTTAGAAATTACATGTGATTAAGGAGTTATGTTCGAAGAAAAATTACAAGTAACAAAAGTTTGTTGCCCGTTTTCTCAAAATTAACAAATTGTATCATATTCTCTTCATCTACTCATGTCTTCATATGTTGTATATATAGCTGACTGAATTTTTCTGTTTTTTCTTTCGAAGACATTTTGCCCATATCAGCAAACTGCAGTTATTAGTTCTAGCGAAACTGTCAATGGCATTAGCTATATAGAGAAAACAACTTAATTGTATCGAGCGTTTCCTTAATGCGGTTCAGAAATATTGGCTTATAGCGGCCGTCGTATAGTTGAATGTATGTTGAAGTTCGCAAAGCTGACTCGGTTCGTATTGGTCGGCAGAGCGACAGCGTGCACTCGACGGACGCGGCCCTCGAAAAGGCGGCCAGTACTGCCGCAAGCGTCAAAACCGCAGGGAAGGAGAAGAACGACGACATTATGTCCGTCCTGCTCGCACACGAAAAACAACCGAGCGCAGGTAAGCACCATCTTCCACTGTGGTCCTTCGCGAATCCATATATTGCGTCCCTTAAATATATACTTGAGAAACATAGTCCTAACAAAGGTGCTCTGTAAAGGTCACGACCCTCAGCACTGAGGAAGACGACATACGGAGGAAGTATATACTAAAACGTTAAAACACATGAAGTCAGCGTCAGAACGGTACTTCGAAAAGGCAATGCGTCATAATAATCGCCTTATCGTTGCCGCCGCTGACTACTTCCCGAATCTTGATCATGCAAGAGCCAGTCACCGTCGAAGCCCTAGACACGTCATTACGGATCTAATAACTCTTGCATTAGACGTCTTCAGCTCTAACACTAGGGGAAGGCTTAGGGACCCCGGTAACCGTAATCGTCGAACTCGGCAAAGAGTTCGACGTCCAACCTAACCTAAACATCACCCCGCTGAGTTTCCGGCCGGATCCTCTCAGCGGGTCGTGATTCCGATCTGGTAGTAGATTCATTCGCGAAGCAGCTGCTCTTGAGTTGTTGGGTCTCCTTCGGAGGCGCTCGGGCAGCTGTTAGCAAATCCCACCCCTCCTGGCTGAGCCTTTGCTCTCTCACCTGTCCTGTTGAAACTGGAAAGGCATCCAGGACACCAGTAATCCGTCATTCATTAAAAAAAAACTAGATCACCTCGTTGATCCACTCCAGGTTAACAATGATAACTAGAGAACCGTGGGGTTCCTATTGGATCCCTGATACGAATTTGTGCGTTGTAAAAGATCATTATTTTCGAATTCTGCATATATTGATACTTGTCACACAAACACGTTTCCGACAACCATAAGACAAGAAAAAATCCTAGCTTGTGAAAAGTTTCATTTTTAAAATAAAAAAATTAAAAAATTACGTTAAAAATGAATTCGACTTGTAAGAAAATACATAGAGGAGTAACATTTTTAAATCATCTTTCAGGAAACCCTGTCTCAAACGCTGTTAAGGGTCTCGAAGCAGAGAGCTCGGACTCCAGCGACAACGAATCGAAAGATCCGTACAAACTCAAAGATGAACTTGCAGCTGTCGGTAAGTTGTGTTTATCACCTACTTGTTGTTCGATCGTTAATAAACTCGGATTTCACAACCAATTTTTTAAATTATATATTTTTATTATTTTTACATCTACACTTTTATACATTATTTTTTAAATCTTGAGACATTAGATCGAAATCTCAATAGTCTCAATGTAGATATAGCGGTTGTCTAACCATTTAAAAAGGGACACACGACTGCTTGTCGACCGAACCATACAGGATATATAAAATCATTAAATCATGAAAAAACTCATCAAATAACAACCCCTTTAATAACAATTAACATAGTATAACATAATACGTGGACTTGTAAAAAAAATGAATATCCACTATTTTGTTTTTTTTTTACTTAGAGATTTGTTTTCAATATCGAATGAACAAATTGCAATAAATAATAAATTAAATTCATGCTTTTTGTTCTTAAAAAAATTTATCCTGTCGTTAATCTACTACAAAAATGTAGGTATACTGTACAAATAAATAGGTATAGGTTGTGTTACTGTAATATTAATTTTGTTGTGACCACAGCGTATCGCTGATTTGTAGCTGTGTGCCCAAACTATTTCTAATGGTTATCTTAGATTGGCATAGGCAGCCCGAGCTAACAATGGTGTTATGTTAACTCTACAAAACGAATGAAATTAATAAAAAAGAAAAATTGCTTTATTTTTCAGCTGAAATGGAAAGCGATGATTCGGATTCTGATGATAACGCGCCCTCGGTTATGGTGAACGGTAAGACGGTGCCATTGACCAGTGTCGACGACGACGTTATCGCACAGATGACGCCCACTGAGAAGGAAACGTACATTCAAATATATCAGGAATATTACAGCCACATGTACGATTAGATTAAGCCTTAGCTGTTATTTCTAAGTAATAAACCAATCAAGATCTTTTTTATTATTATTATTATTTCGAATATCACTGACGAATTACATAGGGTACTAGTTTAGTTTCAGTTTTGTAGTTTTGATGTGAAGCATCTATAGCCGCACGTAAAACCGATTTCTGGCGTGGCGACGCATGGCGTGGTGACGCGTCGCCACGCTATATGTTGGTATATATATACAGTCTATATGCAGTAGTGTGTACGGTGTGGCGACTCGTTGCCATGCGCAATCGACTGCGATTCTCTCGCTACACTGAGCTCGGATACCTATAGTGTATACTCCGTAGTGTATACAGTGTTGTTTACTACAGTACACATAACCTGTGTTTTACTTGAAAACAAATTATTTTTTCGTAATATTTTATTTTGGCAATATGACATATTTAGTTCCTATCACAATCTGTTCTTTTTTGCATATTACTTTTACAAAATAATGTCGTTGTTTCACATCTGCCAGGCGTCCCGTGACGGCTCACATTTTTTTTACTGGTGATAGGACCTCTTGTGAGTTCGCGCACACCTGCATATTTCTGCCGTGAAGCAGTAATGCGTTTCGGTTTGAATGGTGGGGCAGCCGTTGTAATTTTTTTTTTTTATAATAACTAAGAGGCAAACGAGCAAGACGGGTCACCTGATGGTAAGTGATTCACCTCCGCCCACGGTCACCAGCGTTTACGCCAGTGCGTTGCTATATATACTTGAGACTATACTTGAGAACTCAGAACTTATATCTCAAGGTGTGTGGCGCATTTACGTTGTAGATGTCTATGGGCTTCAGTAACCACTTAACACCAGGTGGGCTGTGAGCTCGTCCATCCATCTAAACAATAAAAAATAAAAGATTGAAGAGACAACCGTTACGCAATTAACATCAACTTCAAGGCTACATGATATCTATTGGATCCGGTAATCCAGAAGGATCGTGAGTTCATTTAGCCATTGCATTAAAATGTTTTTTTCCCGCAATATATGGAAACTTAACACATGTGGCATAACAAGCTAAGAACAATTAAGTAGTGTAATATTAGACGTTCTATAGATATACTGCTCAATACTAAGGCAGGCCCCGAAGTAGGTGTGGATCTTCCGTGCGCTACACGTGCGTAACTGCGTAAGGTATCTATCTCTAAAAATCGGTCACGATTTGTTAAACAATGAATTATATCGAGAGGTGAAAGGCTACTTGGTTTAAGCGACATTTATCTTTGTAATTAAAGCTGCTTTTTGTTTGGTATTAGGATCAACAATTCTATGTTATTTATTGAACTTCAATCAAAAAAGTTTACCCCATTGAAATAGCTAAAGACGTTTTTTCTGTTACGATTTTTTTCCAAATTTTAAACTTTAAATAGCTCACCTCTAAAATTGCAAAAATTTCGCATAAACCAAATAGATCCTCCCCTTTCACCCCGCGACATAAATAGAAGCCTATATCTTTTTTCATTAATATTGTTGTTAATAAACGTTAGCGTTCATGACAACTCTAGTTTTGATAATCTTTTTTTCGTGTAAAAAAAAATTGCACTGCCGTAAACAAAAACAAATAGCGTACTAGTGAAATTAATTTATTTTCAAAAATATTTCCGTAAAATAAATAAGTTTAAAAAAATAGAAACTCTGAGAATGATTACTATTACAACTTAAAGCATGCACATTTTCTTTAAATACTAATAAAATTCACTAATTAGATATATAATAATATACAATAATTTATTTGTAGACTAATACTGGCGTTTGCAAATAATCATATATTCCTATAGCAGGTAAGTACTAGCATTTTTATTTATTTTTAAATATGTAACCGAAAAACATTGCTAATGATATTGAAGTAAATTTTGGTTAGTTTATATGTGTTCCCCATTTCTCCCAATATTCGTCGGTTTGCATTTCCATTATACGTGAAAGACATCGATCACATGCAAACATTTCTTCTTCACCCGTAAATATAGTAGCTTTGGCATCTTCCTGCAATGTGAAGAAACAATCATTTGTCAGAGTACAAGATATTCAGCTTTCCATTTGGTTCTTTAAAAAGTAAGCCAGGTACTACAAAATACCTTTAGGTATCATTATCGTAAATTATATGTAAAACTTAGAAATAGTACAATACAATACAAATACAATAATAAATTTGAAAAATCTAAACTTTGAATATGAATTTATACTAACAGAGTCTTTAGTAATTTTCAAGTCATCCATAAGTGCTCTGTCTGCATCACCAAATTCAGTTTCATCTAATTTCATGAGATTTTTTGGTTCGCTATCAGCAGCAATTACAACCTTAAAATAAAAAAATCAAAAATAGAATATTATGTTAAAAATATGATGTGCGGTCATGAAAACAATAAAAATATTTACATACCCTCACTCTGTTATCATACAAAGTATCAATTAGTGTAATGAATCTTCTCAATTGCGATCTATGTTTCGAAATAGATAATTGAGGTAGATTCCTAATGAACACAGTATGAAAGGTTTTTGATATCACTAAATAATCGCTAGCACCGAGTGGCTGAAACAAGTCATACATTAATTTTCACAATAAAAAAAAAATTCAATTTCCAAAACTATAATACTTAACTTACTCTATCGCACAACTCTTCAAAAGTAGAATCAAGAACCCCTCCACAGGATTTAGCAAACTTAACATTTCTACCAAAGATATTAATAATTCTAGGCCGCACAGTGTCAGTCTCCTTTGATACTAGAAACTTAAATAAATTATTGACTGGATCATTTTGAGGTGATATTTGACTATTCCTGCAATTTATTTAAAAAAAATAGAGTACATTCAGACACATACAAATACATCAAGGAAAGTTGTTTAAGCATCTTGTAGAATTTCTGGAATAATAAACAAATAGATACTTACAAAAAATATTTACTGTACTTGGTACCACTTCCACGTAGTCTATAATCAATACCAGAATCCAACTGTAGAACATCACAATGTGTTTTTAAAACTGGTATGAATGGCAAGAAATTTGATCTTTGTAGACCATTTTTATACAAATCATCTGGCTTTCTATNTTGTTTAAGTATCTTGTAGAATTTCTGGAATAATAAACAAATAGATACTTACAAAAAATATTTACTGTACTTGGTACCACTTCCACGTAGTCTATAATCAATACCAGAATCCAACTGTAGAACATCACAATGTGTTTTTAAAACTGGTATGAATGGCAAGAAATTTGATCTTTGTAGACCATTTTTATACAAATCATCTGGCTTTCTATTGCTTGTAGCTACTACAACACACCCATTGTCAAAGAGCTGAGTAAACAAACGTTTTAGAATCATTGCATCTCCGATATCAGTCACCTAGAAACAAAGTTCAAAAAAATATCATTTTTTAAAACAGTATTTAAATGTTGATAAGGTTAGACAAACTCATATTTTTCTCTGATAAGAAGCTGATACAACATATTAATACAGAAATTGTGATTGGACATTGTAACTTTTACTTAAAATATAATAAATATTCTTATATTGTATAATATATACGTTATAGTTTTTAATAACTTTTTATAATTAATCTTTGAATAACTTAGGAATTTCATAAATATATTTTCTCAGTGTAACAAATACTAGGGTTAGAATGAATATTAGGTATTGAACAATGAAATAACCAAACCTGACAAAATTTGAACACTAGTTTCCTTATTAATACACATGTTGGTAGCACAGCCTACCAACCTTGCATTACTAATTCTGCATATTTTATACATAATTTACTTCTTTACTCTATATTTGTAATAACATGTAATTTCAATATTGTTTATGTTGACATATTGTATGGGTATGACGATATTGTATGGGTTGACATAATGTCATGTTACATGACCATTTAATTTATTCGTTGAGGGAATTGCCTGATTTTCTACACTTTCTTTTTTAAAGGCAGACAAGCTTACAGGTTTTAAACAGAAAACTTATTAAATCTTCTTGACAAATATAATTTGAAGATTATTTCTATATACTCACTTGGAATTCATCAAAGCAAATGAGCCAAGATTCCTGTGTTATATCAGCAGCAACAGGAGGTATAGGATCAAATGGTTTAGAACCTTCATCACGGAACGAACTGGCCCCCTTTCCAGATTTAATTTTTAACTCATGAATTCTTGCATGGATGTTTAACATAAATGAATTAAAATGAACTCTGAGCTTTTCTTTAATCTGAAAAAATTAAATTTTATGAAACTTCTATTTCCCAATGAAAGTTCAAAACATCATATCTATATTTTACATTATGTAACTTTTTTATTGTTATTGGTTTATAGCCCACTTGGTGCTTTGATTACTACCTGCCTATTTACATAATAGTAATCGCACCAATCACCTCCAGACATCAGGAAAACTCATAAACCTAGACAGGAATAAATGACATTCAAAAATATATTACTATAATACTTAACATTTCTATTTAAATATTAAAGTAATTTTTTTTAAGCTACTTACTGGCACAGTATCATAAAACAAATCCATTAACATTGTTTTACCACCCCCAACACTACCCCAGATGTAAACACCTTTGGGAGCATCAATCTTTATTGGGTCTGGCTTCTTGAAGAAATTAAAAAACGATCCTATGTTTTGTTCTTGTATTATGGGCCTCTCATAATTACTAATCTCTTGATATACTTTTTGCAGATGTTGCACTACACGTTCTTGATGAGGATCTTTGCTTAATGCCTTGCTGCTCACTTTCTGAGTGTATGCTTGCCAAGGTCCATCGTTTACGAAGTGCTGTGCGTGAGTCTGAGATGATAATAATCTCATACACTTATTGCAGAGCTTCGTCTGATGCATCAAAAACATGGAAGCATGATAAATTGAATTTCGTTTGAACATTTTGTTTATTGTCATCTATTTTTTTTCTTTTTGAGACACAAAGTAGTTTTCATTATATAATCTATTGTTTTTTCATAACCTTGGTAAGCATTCAACATTGAACATTATATCGTTGGTCAAATCACAACATTGAAATCGACATGTTAAGCCGTATTTACCGTTTTGTATGACATTCCACCTAGGCGTTTATTTGTTATTTTTACGTGATGATTTCAAGTATACATGTTTAAATCTGCAATTTTCAAATATCTTTATTATTTTTCTAAAATCCTTTTACTATTTTTTAGTATTTTTTACTTCAATGTACGGTAGCTGTTCCTTCAGAATGACACTGACAACGACAGAATTGACAACATTATGCCTAGTATTCTGCAATGAAGTAGGAAACCTAGTATTCTGTGATTCTGTGATGACAACGACAGAATTGACAACATTATCCATAATTATTCTGTAATGAAAACTTTTATGGAGCAAATTGTAGGTATGTTATCAGGAACACGACGGCTGGTCACCGTCCTCGCTGAACCCGTCGCTTGCGACGAAGGGCTCGATGAGTAAATTAATCCATAAATACAGCCCACTGAGGTTCTCACCGGATCTTCTCAGTGGGTCGCGTTTCCGATCCGGTGGTAGATTCTGCGAAGCACTGCTTCCAGTTTGGGCCCCGTGAGCTCACCTACACGTTAACGCTAAACTGAAATAGCCTCTCAAGGCTATTAGCATAGGTAGGAAAAAAAAGGAACACGACGAAAAAAGTTGTGTGACTTATTTCATTATTAATTTCACATGATTTCTTTTCATCTTATCTTATTTTATGATTTTTTTGATTTTATTGAAATTTGTTCGATTTTTTTAAAGTTTTATTTCATTTTTCAAGTAAGAAAGTATATATTTATTTATCATTAATTCAAATTGATCTACGTTGGCTATCACATTAAGCTAATTGACTTAAGTTCTGGAAAAATATAGAGGATTTTTAATGTAGTGTAGGGATAATCTATACTGAAAACCTTTTTGCTGTAGTCATTCATTCGACAAGCAAAGGATATGAAGGCTATTATTCATTCAATTTTTGTAACAAAAGCCCTAAATCACATGAGCTACATAATTAAAATTATAGAACGGAACGAAGTTTTAATTGATTCACATTAAATTAAATCAAATGAGATGATATGAAAAATCACTTGGACGTAATCAAATCTCATAATATGATTAGAAAATTTACAGTCCAATGGAAGTTTCTAGAGAGTCCGAGAAGTCACATCCAACGATTTTGTTCCACTTCTGCATGTGCACTTTTCATATACGGATTATAGCTTGATTAGAACAACCATTTTCATTATAGAATCAAATGGCAAAGGTTGCTATTGCTATTATGGTAGGGCCTATTCTGAACTCCCAGTATTTTTATCACTCTGCCTTTCTTCTGCCCTTCTGAAGCATTCACACCTTTTAGTTTGAAGGATGGATACCCGTTACACAATACCTTCAGGATTTCAACCTCGTATTTCAAGGTGAATGGCGCCACATATAGGCTCCGGTCAAGTCATTCAATCCCGTTTTTGCAGGATAGCCGTCGGAGCCGCGTGGTTCGTCAGGAACGTCGACCTCCATGACGACCTGGACTTAGAATCCATCAGTAAGTATCTGCAGTCGGCGTCGATGCGCCACTTCGATAAAGCTGCACGACACGAGAACCCTCTCATCGTGGCTGCCGGTAACTACATTCCCGATCCTGCGGAAAGAATGGAAAGCAGTCGACGTCGCCCCAAACACGTCATTTCGGATCCTCCAGATCCACTAACAGTGCTTTTAGGTACCTCAAGCACCGGTCACCGTTCCCGTCGAACCCGTCGCTTGCGGCGAAGGGCTCGACGAGTAAATTAACACTTAGACACAGCCCACTGAGTTTCTCGCCGGATCTTCTCAGTCGGTCGTGTTTCCGATCCGGTGGTAGATTCTGCGAAGCACGGCTCTTGCTAGGGTTCGTGTTAGCAACGTCGTCAGGTTAGAGCCCCGTGAGCTCACCTACTAGTTAAGGTTACGCTGAAATAGCCTCTCAAGGCTATCAGCTTAGGTAGGGAAAAAAGGCTCCGGTAATCCCTTTAAACGGAGTCCATCATATAATTGTAAAAATATACATTTACAAAGCTGGAAAAACCCCTTTCTAAGAGATGGAAATAATAGGTAATCCACGCAACTCGTCGAACTCTGCAAAGAGTTCGACGTGAAACCTAACTTAAACATCAGCCCGCTGAGTTTCTCGTCGGATCTTCTCAGTGCGTCGCAATTACGATCCGATAGTAGTTTTACTCGCGAAGCAGCTGCTCTTGAGTTGTTCTTGACTTCTTCGGAGGCACTCGGGCAGCTGTTTTGCAAAACCCACCCCTCCTGACTAAGCCATTGCTCGCCCACCTGTCCTGGTGAAACTGGAAAGGCCTCGGGGTCACCAGTAATCACTCAATCATAAAACAAAAGTGATCTACGCAAAATCGAACTAGTGGTTCGTACAGTAGTTAAATACCGCTTCGTTAGTTGCTTTCTTGGTTGGTTCTTGTAGTTAACAAAGACTTCCTTAATGTTCCGACCGTCTAATACCTAGATGCAGATTCTCTTAGGAATTCCGTAAACGAATACCTTCGATAACGGTACTTTTTTTTCGTCTGAGGCCGAACCTCCTGCGAGGTTCCCGCGCTTGAGGAGCGCCCGGTATATGTGGAACTCCGTTACCGAAGGCGGTAGTTGGTGCTTGAAAGGTAAAAAAAAATTATTCCTTAGTCCAATTCGCTTAGAACTACATAATGCAAAAAAACGTACATGATCTTCTGACAGATTGATATGAAAATCTATAATATAAATATTTAATAATATAACTTAACAGATTAAGATTTTAGAAAATTCCAAATATAATTTAATGATGTGGAGTGGCGTTCTGGTTTCGTGGATCAGGTAGTTTGTAATTTATATTCCATGACGATATTAATTTTGTGGAATCTATATATATCAACTACAGCCATCGACAACAGTTAGTTATAATTGCACTAAGTTTTTCTTTTCCTAAATCCAATAGACAAAACCCAACAGTATTTTCATTTATGTTCGCCCGTTCCTCTAATGTGTACCTGACATGAGAAATTTAGGATGCTATAAATTAAAATTCCCTCAGATCGTTATCATTTGTGGTCAACGACCAACAAAATTTGTCACCCCTCTTCTTGGAACAAGTGCATACAAAAAATCTTGTGAAAGCAGGATGCAGTCAAATTGAAATCGACGTACTGAATAAATTGATGCAAAGTAACTACTTATTGCAATCAGCATTCACGCATTATCCTGACATCCTCCATTTCTTAAACAATTTATGATAGGGGTGGCAGCCGGTACGAAAATAATGAAATAATGGTTCTGTTATTAAATGAAGACAGATGTAGTTATTGAAAATTTTAAAAAGCAATACACTTAGCTTTACTAAATCAATCTGTTCTATTCAAAAGCATTGAATAGTGAATACAATAGAGAAATAAAAGTTTCCAAAATGTTTTAATTCGGTATTCCATTAAGTAAACCCGTACACATAGGTCCACCAACCTGCTGTCCAGCCGTCCAACTATATATACATATATGATTATATGTCTAAAAGCCAATGTGTTATACATGTATGTATTCCCATAGGCGCCGATACGTCTGGACCAGTTTCGATGAGATTTTAGGGGAGACTTCAGATTGGGCTACCGGGTGATCCTGAGTTTGGTAGCGACCGTATCGAAGTTAAACCAAAGATTAGCCCAAACTGGGCCGTGCTCAACTAGTTATGCAATAAAATGTGCAGCAAATGGTCAGCATGGTTTTCACGAGACATTCCATCACATAAAGATGAGGGTGTACCTCATCGATTAGTAGTGGTATCTCGCCATTTAAATCAATAGACAATGGAGCAAAGTGAAGTTAATGCCGTTTTTTTTAAATATTACATTCACCGATAAAGCAGATTTCCGTTTGAATGGAAAATAAACAATAATAAGTAAACAAATTTCTCAAATTTATAGCCCATAAAATCCTCACGGGATTCTTGAGAAACAAATGCAACAATAAAGTACAACTGTCATTTATTTATTTATTTCAGTCTTCTTACAAACTAACAGTTGAACCAAAACATTTATAAGGTATTATTGGTAGCTTAAGTAGCTTTTTGCAACTGCTCCAAATCCCTGCATTCCATCATGTAAAATATAAGTTTGCGGGACATGGGCTACTAAGTGCATTAAGTCTTGTCCCTTTATGTGCGGATTTTGGTTATCGCTCGCTTCATGTATCCGACTGAAATGAACCTTAGTATAATTGTTATTTTCACTTTCAGCTCCTGGTAAGGGACTACAAAAGTATGACCAATAAAAAAATCGCAATGAACAACCCTAAAATTAAAGAGTGCACTAACGCCCAGAACACAACTCATCACGATCGTGCAATTTATGAACGTATTTATTCTTTTTATGTATGCTCGCTCTTCTGTGTCCTGGAAATCCGTCGAGACGCAGTTCTCAGATGTGCTATTTTTGATCGCAGTGCCGTTAACTTGCTTGCACATGCGAAGGGTTAATCACCACTACCTTATAATGTAACAGTATTTAAATATATTTGTTATTATGTTTCACTATTACGGAATGCCTATAAATTTCAAATAGTGGCTCTGTGTTGTAAGTTATCACTTATATTGAAGAATAACAAATAAAACAGATATCTATCTGTCTATTTATATATAAACATATATATTAATATACACACACACAAAATAGCATGAGACTTAAGATTGAAAGATTAACTATATTATCTAACGGCATTTAAACGGCAACCATGACTGTTTCGCGACAAATGAACAGGATGTTTGCAACTACCCACTCAGGCACAAAATAATACATAACCTCACTAATTGTGTTACACGATGTTATTCCACTTATTCCTTCATCGCAGTACTTGTTCACGAACACGTTTTAGGTACGTATTTAGAAAAATGTACGAAACAAGGTGGCGTCACAATTATTTCAATTATTACGTATTCTGTGATACACTTGTATAGTCCGTCCGTCCGTAGCCGTATTCGACGGTAATTAGAGTATACGGGTATTGATCCCAATCGTCTCTTGACGTTGCTAGTGTTGCTACTACATTGCGCGTTGCAGCGTTACGACCTGAAGGATAATGGATGGCCGTTTTATAGTAAGTAGGTACTGTTGAAACTTTGAAGCTCAAGGTGGGTGGAATGGTCTTACTCACTTTTGAATTATATAAATTTCAGTCAACCATGTAACAAAACATGACGT